AATGTATTTACAAGTAAAAAGAAATAGTGCTGCTTCCGCCGTTATAGTTTTTACACCATTTACCAGAACATTTAGTCATTTTTGGGAGATGTTTTGTTGACAAGTAAGTGCTTGAGACTGACACAAAAAACAAACGACCTAGGCTAAAATTCCCTGGTTACAGACATGACCGTTAAAGGTACGTTCGCTTATATGTCTGGTCCAGTGGTTAATTCGTTCATGGACTAGGTATATAAATACTACAACGACCTAATCAGTTTTTATACATTTCTTATTTCTGAGAAACTCTTTTTAGATAGAAATAGAGAAACTGTTTTTACTTCGTATCTTAATGAAAACAAACCGATTGTATTTTTGCCCAGTAAACAACTTGTAACGATTTGGCCGCCTCTTAATTTCGGCCGCCTGCGTGCGGTGCACGCAATGAACGCCCGTCAGGCACGGCCCTGCATGCATGAACTTTTAATTATGATCATACAGGACAAGCACGACCTTCAGCAATGAAGTACACGAAGAAGAAGAAGATCATGATAAATTGGGGTATGAAATTGGAATAAAATTAAACTTCATTGTTGTTACGTCAGTAGATCCATAATGTCTACCATAGAATAAAGACATTTATAAAGAAAACTGTTTATTTATTTCCACGTGATGCGATACCTTTTTTTACCCATCACAGTATTTAATAAACATTACCAAATTCTCGAATATATCTACAAGTAATTAAAAATAAAACTTAAAAAAAATAAAAATTAAAACTAAAGTAAAAAAACTGATTGGTAGTTTTCATTTACTTCAGATACCTAATCAAACATTTTCGAAGTCGGTGCCAGCCGATACAAATCAAAGCACTTACATTTACGTTAGCGAAAATTTTGAAAAAATATATGTAGAGCATAGTAAGGGTCATTTATAAAAAAAATGGTGATAGTGTCTCATAAAATACGTGACATTTTATTTTTTTAAATTGTGAAATTTCGATATATGAATCACTGCGAAGACTTCAAAGTATCTTATTTACTTTGAAGTAGGTATCTAACGTTTGCAGAAAAGGTCACAAACAGTTTTTATGTTGTGTTTTTTTTAATTTAATTGTTTTATCTGAAAAACTAGCGCTTGCAGAGGGGTGATAGCTTAGGGAAATGTTTCTCTTAAGAAGACCATGGTAAAAATATCAACCTAACTTTCCCGAGAGGCATCTGACCCATGCTTACCCTGCTACACTCTTTCATCCAGATCCGTTCAGCCGTTTTGGCGTGAAAAAGTAAAAAACATTCATCCATCCTCATAAACTTTCACATTTATAATATTTAATTATGGAATTTAACGAAATCTAAAAAATAAAATTCTGTTTTTCTTACTCATCCCCGGAACCAGTAAACAAAACATTAGATAGTGAGTAGGTACCTAATTAATAATTATGATATGCCATTATAACAACTAGGATTCTCAAAAAGGATTTTTTAAATAACGTTATTCGTAATACCGCTGCAAGCAATGTCTACTAATATTTTCGTGAATCTAAAAATGTTTTCACCTTGAAACAGAGACTAGCTGAACAATGAACATTTATTTCGGATTCTACTCTAACTTTAAAAAACACAGGTTTTTTTAAATAGCAAAGGTGATAATTGACATAGCTTCGTAAGGTTGGGGAAAGTATAGTTTAATTATTTTATTACAAACTAACGACGTAAGCTATCGTCGCTTCGCTCGGGTGCGATAAGTATAACAGACAGTTAATCCCTCCACGACCGCGGACACGCCGGCGTTACAGTTAACAATAGATTTCTTAGAAATTTAATTAATTTCTTAGAAATTTAATTAATTTCATAGAAATTTAATTAATTTCTTAGAGATTTAATTAATTTCTTAGAAATTTACCTGGAGGCGTTAAACTAAAGGAATAACTAAAAATATACCTCTCTAGAACCCATCAAGTCCACTGCCACTTGCTAATTCTTTGGCCTAAGTCAGATCACTTCATTTTGAATCCCATCCTTCAGAGAAACTCCGAGCATAGCCCTCTCCATAGCACACTCAACGACCTTAAACTGGTGGGCTAATCGCACCGTCAGTGTCAACGTGTCGGCTCCGTTTGTCAAAAGAGGTAGGACGCACTCGTTAAAGACTTTTCTTTTTAGCTTTGCGGTATTGGTGACGAAAAGACTTGACGAAGTTTATTGAATGCTGCCCATCACAACAGTATTCTTCTTTGAGCTTCTTTCTCGAAGTAGTTTTTACTGAGTTGCAGTAGGTAATTGTCCAAAGTAGATGTAGTCTTTTACTACTTCGAGAGATAAGTTCCATTGAGAGCAATCGGTCCCGGTATTACAAGTGCATTAAACATGATCTTGGTTTTGTCTAAATTCATCCGGAGACCAAGGTGTTCTGAAGAACCAGCTAGGCTTTGCAACATGTGTTACAGGTCTTGCATGGTTTTAGCTGCGAATCTCAAGTGCGAGATGTACTCGCCGTTTATGTTTATTCCACGACTTTTCCAGTCAAGAGCTCATACACATCCTTCAATGCAGTTGTGAATAATTTGGGGAAAATTTCGTCTCCTTGTCTCACTCCTCGTTGCAGGAAGATAGGTTCAGACTGCCAGAGGTATATTAATTGTTTATATATAATTTGATTTAATACACAAGAATTCCGTATTAATATAATAAATGTAAAAATTTGCGAGTATGGATATTTGTTACTCTGTCACGCCAGAACGGCTGAACGGATCTGCTTTTTTTTTAGTTTTTTGAACGGATCTGGTTGAAATTTGGTATAGACATAGATTACAGTCTGGAATTACACATAGGCTACTTTTTATCCCGGAAAAATGTACGGTTCCCGTGGGATAGGTTTGTTTTTGTTTTCCTAGAGGTGCTGAGCTGCTAGTTTTTGTTCATGAATTTACCGACTATCTAATAATTGCTTGCTGCTTAAATGTTCATACATTTCTGTTGTGCTTTATAAATTGCGCACACGTACCTACTGATTGAAGTAAAAATTGTTACTCTTAACTTGTACTTATAAGTATGTGTATAACAAAGTCCCATTGGTCCCTCTTCTGTATTGATGTGCCATTAAAAATAAGAAATAAATGGACCATTACATATCATATTATTATTTATTGTATGGGGTAGAATGTAAATATGATTTCAATACTTTGTACCTTTCGCAACTTTTAGTCAAGAGTTAAAAATATTTCTAAAACCAGCGGCTCATCCTCACTTCACTCGGGTCGTCCCTAGGTACGTTTTAACGGTTAGGTATGGAATTGATAAACTATATTACTGTTCCGCATCCTACAGTCTTTTTCATTAAACAGGCTATCTAATGCAAAAATATTTTTTCAAATCGGATTAGTAGTTCCTGAGATAGCGCGTTCAATCAAATAAACCCTGCCTCTTTATAATTAAAAAAATAAAATAATATATTATTAATTAATTACATGTGTAATTGTAAATTAAAATTTCTATAAAATAGGTACATCTAATATACATATATCACGATAAAAAAAATACTAAAAAAAGTAAAGTAGGTTAGGTATTTGCTAGGAAAACAAAAGGTTAGGGAATAACAAAACAAAAAAATATATAATTATACTAAATATATTTATAATATGAAATTATATAATAGGTAACACAAGTCTGTTGTACAGATTTTACATAAATTTTCACATTGAAAACAATTTGTAGACATATTTTGCTGTTAGAAATACACGATTAGTGTAAGTAAACAATAATAATAATTTCGTTATCTTTATCACATTAAAAGTAAAATTACAGCTGTAGATATAATTAAGGTAAGGTAAGCATGTATATAAAATATGATGATAAAATTAAAGTGTAGGTAATCACAAAAAATTCTAATAAAAAAATATACTCGAAATTGTACCTAAAACATTTAAATACAGAATTGTAAAAACGTTTATTTTTAATTCTAATATGTATTTACATTTTACATGCAACTTTAAAATGTCCTAATTATTATACAATATACATTTTTGACTAGCAAACAGCTGACATTACAATATAAAATATATTAAAATTTAGATTTTAGACTAATTGAACATTTTTAACAATATTATTTGATGGTAGTAGTATACACAGTGTAATGGTACATTCTTAGAAATTTTTAATTGTTAAAATAATTTCATTAGGCTAACAATATATATAAATCGTGTGCGTATAAAATATATTATAAAACCGAAATACAATGCATTAAGATATGTAAGTACAATATAGTCATCTTTTAATTATATTAAAAGCAAGTACTTTCCATTTTACAGGGTTTAGAGATGTTATTATTACTTTTATTTAGATATTTTCATATGAGAACATTTTAGATGGAAAATGTACATAATACATAATGTTATAAAATGCAAAATTTGAACAAAGTAAAGTAATTTAATGAACAACTATATCAATGCATGAATTTAACGATTGTATAATACTAGACAAGGAAAGATTATTTTTATAGAATATAATTAATCTTAAAATATAAAATGATATATTTGTACAAATGAATTTTGTATATATATAAAAAAATGAAGTATTTATATCTATTACAAGAAGAAAGTAATCAACTAATATTTAAAGTTAGAATTATTAGACATTTACAAAATCTGGTTTTAAATGTTTAATGAGGGGCATGGCCTTGATATAGTTCTCATGATAACATTATTAATTATATGAAAATTAAGCCATGGAATGTATTATAAATTCTTAACTTTAATAATATCTTATTAAATTCCAATCAATATTGGAATGTATCAAGAATATCATTTTTACCGAAAACAAGCAAAGGTAAGTAATTCATTTGGAGTAGAATTGTCATGTTTTAGTACAAAAAAATCTTTACCATTATGGCTAGCCACATCTATAACTTCAATACTATTTGTATCACAAAATAAGAAATTATTGAAAAAAAAAATCATCACTACAAGGAGTTGTGCAAGAGATCGTTAATTTTTATATTAATCAAAATGATTAAGCAAATCATTCAACTGTAACTGATTTAGCCAAGTTTCTTGGACAGTCGACATTGCAGCCTCGCAAGACTGCTATATGATAAGCAAGTAACTGCATAGGAATAACAGTAAGTACTCCTTGCAAGCAGTCTACTGTTTTTGGAACTTCTAATATCTGAGACGCGAGTGCCATTGTTTCCGTATCTCCTTCCTCGCAAACAACGATTGGTCGACCTTGACGAGCTGTAACTTGTTGTAGTGCATTCATGCATTTTGTGTAAACAGGGTCACGCATAACTATCATCATTACTGGCATAGAATCATCAATAAGTGCAAGTGGACCATGCTTCAGTTCTCCCGCCATAATACCCTCACTGTGCATGTAAGTCAATTCTTTGACCTTTAATGCTCCTTCTAAACAAGTAGCGAAATTGTATCCGCGACCCATAATTAGTAATGAGCGCTGTCGATACAAATCCTCTGCTAAAGCTTTAACTTTACTATCCAATGCCAATACTTGACGAATTTTTATATCTAACTCATGAAGCCCTTCAATTATATCTGCTCTCCTTTTTTGTAGTGAAATGCGATCTTCGCTTATTACTAAAGCGAACATGACAAGTGACACAAATTGCGATGTATAGGCTTTTGTGGAAGCCACACCAATTTCAGGTCCAGCATTAATATGTACTCCACAATGCGACTCACGACAAATGGAACTTCCTACAGTATTTGTAATACCAACTATAAGGGCTCCATGCCTTTTACAGTAACGTAAAGCCATCAAAGTATCTGCAGTTTCACCAGATTGAGAAATAAAGAAACAAACATCATCACGGAAAACTGGTGTGTTTCTATCTAAAAAGTCAGATGCCAGCTCAACCATTACCGGAAGTTCTGTCAGTTCTTCCAATAACTGACGAGTAGCAACAGCGCTATGGTAACTGGTACCACAACCAATCAACATCAATCTTCTGCACCTCTTAATTTCCGGAATATAATCTTTGATTCCTCCAAGAATCACAGTTCCATTAGCAAAGTTAAGACGACCTCTCATAGTGTTAACAATAGATTCAGATTGTTCAAAAATTTCTTTTTGCATGAAGTAATCATAGTTACCTTTCATAATTTGTTGTATTTCCAGTTTCAGAGTCAAAATTTCTCTTTCATGAGGGTCAGAGCTGCTACCAGACATACGATGAATACTAAGAACACCATCTCTAATATGAGCTACATCATCATCTTCAAAGTAAAGTACTCTATTTGTGTGCTCAATAACAGCAGAAGCATCAGATGCAAAGAAATATTCCACATCTCTCTCCTCTTCTGGCTCAAAGTGAGCATGACTGTTTACACGAGGCACTGAAGGCACAACACCCCTTGTAGCTTTATTGTTAGTGTACATAATCGGTACATGGTCACTTGATAGACGCCTTTTTGTTTTTATACCCACAAGCAATGGGCTACCACGTCTTGTAGCTACACATTCATTTGGAAAATAACGAGACTTAAAACACAGAGCAAAAGCTCCTTCTAGTTGTTGAATTACCTGCTCCACAAGCTCCTGAAAGCTGAAGTCCTTATGTTGACTAAAAATATGGTGAATTAGTTTAGCAATAACTTCTGTATCAGTTTGAGATTCAAAAGCATAACCCTTATTTTCAAGAAAAGTCTTGACTTCTTTGTAATTAGTAATGATGCCATTGTGGATCACTACAAAAGAGTTATCTTCCCCAGAGCGTTGAGGATGTGAATTTATTGCACTAGGTTCACCATGAGTTGCCCAACGTGTGTGGGCAATGCCGCAATGCGATTCCACTGATTCCTCAACACATAATTCGAGGCTTTGCTCTTGCAATAGCTCCTCAAGAGCGGCTACTTTGCCGCTTTTCTTCACAACAGCAATATCCTTCTGATCAGCGGCATCTATAGCGACTCCTGCAGAATCGTAACCGCGGTATTCTAAGCGTTTTAATCCATTCACGAGCAATTCCAATATCTCCCGTCGTGTTTTCGGTGTCAAATGATTGATATATGCAAAAATTCCACACATCGTAAGCGAAGCGAAACGTTAACGTAAATTCGGGTGCACGAAACCGCAACTAATGAAAGACTGAGCGCAACACAATACACAACCGATATTGAAGGCCTTCGTATATAACTCCTACCACTAATAAGTTACTTTCACTTACGGCAAAGCACACGTCATCATGTTTCGTTATCATACAACTTGTTAGTATCGTAAATATCAGCAAGCAGCGGCAAAAACCCGTTCCTATACGAATTGCCCAATACAAAATGTAACTATCAGTTTGAATCTGTCAGTGTCAGTGTTACATCTTTACGTCAACGTCAAAACACTTTTTTATACTATGCTTTGGGCAAAGACGTAAAACAAAATGCAACGTTTCACTTTATAATATAAAGCCATAAAATAATAAAAATGAATTGAATTGATTTTATATAACCTAGTTTTATATGAAAATATATTATATTCATTTTTTTCCTTTAAAATTTTAATGTAAAATGTTTCCCCCGGTAGGCATGATCCACGATTTATTATAAGCGTACCACTATTTTTTGTCTATTTACAAAAATTATATATATTTTAACCGGATTATAAATATTTTAACCGGACTATATAACTTTAATAAGTATCATAATTATTAGTAATTTGTCTCAAAAATATTTAAAAACAAAAATAATAACATTGTATTTGATCTAAAGTTAATATTTATTATTAATATTATTTATTTTAATTGTCGACCTGGGCTAAGAAATTGAATTCTATTAATGTTTTAAATAATTAGGACAGGAAAGATACGTAAAATAATATTTTTTTATTGATTTAAAAAGGAAAACAATATTTTATTGTTTACATAGTACAGACAAAATTTAATTTTCAATGTTGTAAATGTTGTAATGATTCATTAAATTATATACTCCAATAAAATAAATATCAATTCCGATAATACCGCCCCCTGTTTAAGCTACTGGGCTAAATTACCAAAAAACTTAATTTTGAAATATAAATGTGTGAAAAAGAACCTGCAAAGAAAAACTATTTATTTTATTAGGTATTTACTAATTTATAGGAAATCATATCCAAATGGCTCTAACGAAACCTTTGACATCATCATCATCCATTTAATTTTGCTCGAAGTTAAATTATTTTACTGGAAGCAAAAATTTTTTAGTTCCCTGGTTCTCTTGTAATACGCAAATCTGTAGGTTATTAAAAAAAATGTGTCGCACTCCAACTCCATACTAAATTAGGGTTGGATAAAAAAATTCAAGTCCAAATATGCGAGTGGCCATATCCTGAATAGGTGTTTAAAAATTCAGGTAAATATTGAAGTGATTAGTAATTATTCGCATTGCCCGCGGCTCCGCCTGCGTTCAGATGACCAAAAACTAAATTCTTACGTTTTACATACTCTTACAATGCACTTTTTGTATTTTTTCTCAGAAATGAGACATTTTCCCAAATTGAAAAGTATCCTATATGTTGCCCCGGATAACCAGCTATCACCATGCCAATTTTTTTTATACTATTCAGAATTGGTGGCTTGACTACGTTCCACCTGATGGTAAGTGGTAACGCAGTCGCACTAATTCAGTAGCCACCTATTCACTCTTGCCTTGAAGACACCCATATTATAATCGGACGGAAACACCGACGCAGGCAGGTTATTCCAATCCTTAGCCGTACCTATAATAAATGACGTAGCGAAACGCTTCGTGCGGACGGGTGGAATGTCCACGACATAAGGATGGAGACCAGCCGTTCGTCGGGTTGTCCGATGATGGAAAGGGGATAGGAATTTCATCAAAATCCATCCAGTAGTTTTTCTGTGATGCGGTAACAGACAGACAGACAGACAGACAGACAGACAAAAATTCTAAAAACTATAGATTCAGCCTCTGTATCGATAATAATGTTTATTTCAATAAGATTTTCCAATAAATATTTAATGTACAGATTCGGCTTAGTTACAATTTTATTATATGTACTAGCATTGCCCGCGGCTCCGCCCGCGTTCAGATGACCAATTACCGAAATTCTTACGTTTTACATATTTATACATTGCAGTTTTTGTATTTTTTCTCAGAAATGAGACATTTTCCCGCAGTAAAAAGTGTCCTATTTATTGACCCGGATAACCAGCTATCACCATACCTTTCATCAAAACCCCTCCAGTGGTTTTTCTGTGATGCGGTAACAGACAGACAGACTGTATCGATAATAATGTTTATTTCAATAAGATTTTCCAAAAAATATTTAATGTACAGACAGATTCGGCTTAATTACAATTTTATTATATGTATAAATACTTAGATATAACGAAACATTAGTACGTTTTTTTTAAATTAAAATTTTGATGTAAACAAATGTTTGACTACGATTGATATTGAATAATATTTTCTTAGCTTTACGCGAAATTCTCAGATTTTATTTAAAATGATATTGAATTTAACTTAATATTCCGTCGCGAAGCCTTATAAAGTCTCATAGGGTTAAATAAAAACGTCATTACCAGTAGCTTCTTTATTGGTTTATCAGGGTCAAGGTCTTTACAAAATTATTGAAAAAATTACAAAGATACATTTAGCTTAATAAGATTGAGTTTTCTTCGTACCTATGTAAGTCTAAAACAGTTTTGGAAATTTGAATTGAATTTTTATACCTTTGCGTTTTCACCTTTATAGACAAACAATTATTATAAAATATAAGAGTATAGTTTTAAACTAGGAACAAAAATCACATTACGCTCTACAAATTCCTCAATTTTCTATCAAAACGTTCTTAACGCTTTAAACGTACGGCTAAATTCAACTATGAAGAGTCGGTTTAGAACCGATACCCACATATTCTACATTCTGATGTTCATCTCTTACTTACATTACACTTTCTTCAATCTTAAGAAAATAACTTATTTTACCTACTGAATTAAAAAGTTAAATATTAAATCAGTTACAGTCACAACAATAGAGACGATAGTGGAGGTATCAGAAGTTACGACGTCACAAATAACACTCCGTAAAACTAATTTGATGCAGTTTTAGAAATTAACATGCGTATAGTTACATATCACATTGAAAAAAAATTTGTTTAACCAACAGGAGACAAAGAAGGTACCGCAAGATAAAACAAAATCGACGGTGTTCAAAATCATACAATGGCCTGCTACAATTATATATACGAGTACCAACGCACCGCGACTAGCAGAGGTTAAAGATTCAATTTCAATTCCGCCTTTCCTCCTGAACTCCTTGCGATGGAAAAATGAAACGTAACGAGAGTACGAAAACTCAAACTTGGACTTACGCCTAAAATAAGCAGAGAGACATAAACTTAACACGTAAACGTAACTAAAACGAATTAACTTGAGTATCTTGTTCTGATAAATGCACGAGGTGGGACAGGGGTCGATGTCACCACTGAAGAAGCTCCGATGGGGGTAGGACACGAATGGCGTGAGGGGTCGCTCTAGGAGCCGTCGAAGGGGTACACGTATGGGCGAGAGAGAGAGGGTCTGGGGGGTGGTGGGGGTAGGAGAGGGAGAGGGACAGGGGGAGGGGGAAGGGGACAAGGTCGCAGCGCCGCGAGTGGCTCCCGGCTGCGATGTGTTCGCTGAGGTGCCCCATAGTTATTTTTTCTTCTGGGCCTTCTCAGCGGCCTTGGTGATTTTACCTGTTGTAACCTCCTTAAAGGTTACACTCTGGAACAAAAATTGTACAAGTACATTATTAACAAAATCCCTTTAAAATATGTCAAGCTAAAGTATCATAAACACTTGTGTTAGTGAGTGTTATAGTTAGGGTCAATAAATATGACTAAAGAGTTCTTGGTCACTCATTTATTTTGAACATCCAATTTAATGCACCAGCATCTAGCAGTTTAGGGCGGAATAAAAAAATTACTTACTTAAACAAAGGGATTAATTCAAACTCTATACATAGTTATTACATTTAAAATTCAACGATTAAAGTTATTCGTGTTTTTGGGACTACGTGGTGAGTGGTGACAAAAGGCAAACATTTCACGAACGCGCGACGACCGAGGTAGTACTTATTGTATTTAATTTAATGTATTTTTGTTTGTATGTTCTGTAACTGCTTTAGTGATCTTGTGGCTATTATACATAATTATACGACTGCAAATCCAGAGGTTCTGGATTCGAGTCCCGGGTCGGGCCAAGAATTGGTAATCAGTTTTTTGTCTAGAAATTCATAATAACAGTACGGAGTTGGAAAGTTGGCGGTGTCATACGGTGGTATGGAGAATGCGTAAAACCAACGGTCTTTCGCCTCTCGATAGTCGTGTCGAATTGTCGTTAACTGGAGTTTGAGAGTAATAGAAATAGAGATTGGACTTGCGCTTATTCACATACTTGTGCACTATAATATCTCCTGCGCACATGACCCGTCTCAATGTGATTGTCCGGCGTGGCGGAGGAGGAGTAGGAGAAGGAGGAGGAGGACAGGAGGGTGAGCACAGGTGTCCTGTACACCTTGTGTGTACCTTGATGACGCCGACGGCGACGGTCTGGCGCATGTCACGAACGGCGAAGCGGCCGAGCGGCGGGAACTCCTGGAAGGACTCGACGCAGAGCGCCTTGGTCGGCACCAGGGTCACGATGGCCGCGTCGCCCGACTTGATCGACTTCGGCTCCACCTCGGTGGTCTTGCCTGTCACATACTTTATAATTACTACCTATATAATAAGTTATAACCACAATCGGACTATTATTATGAACTTTGTTATCTATTCATGTATGTATGTCCCGTCTTGTAATCTTGATTTGTGGTGAGAAATAAAGTATTTTATTATTTATTTTATTATTAAAGTTTGTACGTCTGACTGGCCCCTAGAAATATGTAGAATAAAAATAGAATAAGAAGTATGGGTACATTTCTATATGGAGCGAAGAGTCGCTAGTATGGATATAAATAACGAATTATAAAGACAACATCAAGAAGGAAATAACAATAATAATAAGGCATACCGGTACGACGGTCGCACTTCTCCTTGATCTCGGCAAACTTGCAGGCGATGTGCGCGGTGTGGCAGTCCAGCACCGGCGTGTAGCCGTTGCTGATCTGCCCCGGGTGGTTCAGCACGATCACCTGCGGCAGAACACCGCCGATATGTTTTATAGGATACAGGCTCAGTTTTGTGACTGGGTATTAACTATGAATATTGCAATCAAAAGTAGAGGCAATTGTGAATAAAATTATAATAGATTTAAAATAATAAAAAATAAAATAAAAACCGACGACTTCTAGGCACTGAAAAGTAAAAAAATAGCTAAAAGGGGTTTGAGGTTAGGGTGGAGAGGAGGGGGGGGGTGTGTTGGTATACGTTTGACGAGAATTGAGGACCTACACCTTTTTGAAGAATTCGGTTGAAAAATAAAAGTAGGTAACACGATTTTTACCAAACAAAATGTTAGAGATTCATTAAAAGGAATCAAGGGAGTAATAATTCAACTCTTATTAGATCAGCTGGACGCTATCAAACTGTGAAGCTAAAAAAAGTACTCAATGGACTCATGAGGCCGATTCGATGAACACTAAAATAGCTTTTTACAAATTCTTTTTTAAACGGAAAGTCAATTGTTACCCATATTCCATACAGTGTGTAAAGAGATTACGTCTATTATAATTAATTATTGCAACCTTTGATAGTAACCTTCTTAAGCCCACCAACTACTTTTCACAAAAATTTAGCTTTTATTATTTCGATTGCAGAAAAACTATATTATCTATTCTAATATTATAAAAAGGAAAACATTTTTTTGTTTGTTTGTATCGAATAGGATCCGACCGATTTAGATAAATTTGGTAAGAAGATAGTTTGAGACCCTAGGTAATGGATAGTTTCTATCCCGGAAATCATCCCTTAAGGGGGTGAAAGTTTGTATGGGAAAGCAACCTAGGAAGTCGCTAGTATTATGATTATATTACTATTTACTAATCATTACATATGGCATATATGGAGTCTGGAGACAATGCTAAATGCACGCTAAGTTTTGGCTGTTGGACGAACAACTGCATCGATATCTATACAACATGAGAATCAAACCCACGATCTCTGATTTATTCGATATTTCTTATTACATATTTATTTTGTATTTATTTCATTGCCATTGTGAGAAACAACTTACACGTAACATTACAGTAATATAAAACTGAGTAAAAAACAATAACGTTGTCGATAGTATAAGTTTTAATTTATTTTCAAATCGCAATATAATTGTTTTATTGAATTAATTTCAAAATTTAATATACATTATTTATCATACTGACTTTTTACTACTTAGAAAAGAAATGTAAGCTTACACATCATCGATAAAGTTTTAACTTTGTTAATTTTCGGGAATAGCTAGAACCAGTCAATTTCTGGTTTAAAAGACTTTTTAAATAGACATATTTATTAATTTACCCTTTTGAATACAATAATATACTTGATTAAACAAGTACATATTTATCAAATCAGTTCAAGGCCATTTACGCCTTTCCATTCTGCTCATTATATTTAAGCTGTCGTTTTCTGTATTAATTTACAATTAAAATATATAAAAAGTTTTCCTATTTTGAATTAAAAAATGGTTGAATCTGAATACTGGCTAATTACTTTATAATTTTGGAAAAAATAATTACGGTAATAGCCATTTTGAAATACATAATATACAATCAGCGTAATAGTTTCGTCATAGCAGTTTAAAAACAATTATACAGTCGGGTACCTAATGAGTACAATTTTTAATATCTATCTTAATATTATAAATGTGAAGGTGTGTTTGTTTTTTTTTGTTTGTTTGTTTGTTTGACTTTCTTTTACGTCGAAACGGCTTGGTGGAATTGGCGTGATTTTTTGTGCGGAGATAGTTGGAGGGCTGGAGAGTGACATAGGCTACTTTTTAGCGCGGGAGATTATCTCTTTCACACGGAAAAACACGTTAAGTACAATACTATCTAAAAAAATATTTATGATCAAGATACGCGTTCTAGCATTTTTCGAAATTCATCCCATAAGGGGGTAAAATAGCGGATGAAAGTTTGTATGAAAACTACAATTTTAGAGTTTTATTCGTAGTTTTAGCGCGAGCAAAGCCGCTTGTTCTGCTAGTACTTAATTATAGAACATTTTGTAGACTAGGCAACAATTGCTCATTTACGCAACATAATTTGTTTATTGCTTGCATAAAATGTGTACCCATGATTAAAAACCAGTTCCTAATTCATTCGCTAACTCTATATATAAACCGCCTAACCACTATCGTTAGACTTTCAATTAAAGGCACTTATTATTTCTTTTAAATATTAAATAACATATTTCTGAGTATTATTTCCTTATACAAAATAATTAATTATTTTGTAATTCAGTGGAATGCAGAATTAGAATAATCTCTTTCGAAATTGCTCTACATTTGAGTAAAAGTTAACTTTTACGAAGTGCATATTGTGTCATAATGTCTACTTTTATATTAGAACTAACATTGCACGCGGCTCCGCCCGCGTTCAGATGACCAAAAACCAAAGTCTTAGGTTTTACATATTAGTATACTCTTACATTGCAGTTTTGCATTTTTTCTTAGAAATGAGATATTTTCCCACGGTAAAGAGTATCCTATATGTTGACCCGGATAATCAGCTATCATCATACCAAATTTTATCAAAATCCGTCCAGTGGTTTTTCCGTGATGCAGTAACAGACAGACAGACAGAAAAAAATCTAAAAACTATAGATTTGGCCTCTGTATCGATAATAATGTTTATTTCAATAAGATTATCCAAAGAATATTTAATATACAGATTCGGCTTAGTTACAATTTTATTATATGTAGAGATAAATTTTATAAATCTATCGGTATAATAAAATTGTGATCGCTGTCTGTACATAAAAGATATTTGAGAAAAATTATTATTGTGGGGTCTTTATTTATGGCATAGAACCCAAAACAATTATTTTTAAGAAATTTTGTCTGTGTGTTTGTGTTCCCATTTGGGTACGTTTTTCATTAATGTATTATGGTATCAATTTAGTATTGTATGTGGCTTCACTTAACATTTGGTATTTGATTCATTTCAATCGGTTCATAAATAAAAAAGTTATGTGAATTTAAACAATCACCTAGCGACGACCCCGAGTGAAGCGAGGGTGAGTCGTTAGTTATATAATATAATTCTTTATAACGATAAAGAATTTGAAGAAACGGATAAAGAAAAGCCATATCAAATAAATACCAACTAAGCATTTATCAGTAGGTATTTAGTAAAATTTATTTACGAATTACGACGCGTACAACAAACATGCTTTGCATCTCAAATGAATGTTAGTACACAACGAACAAACAAATGAGGAAACAATATATTTAAAACAAACCAAATTTTTTACCTGAGCGGTGAAATCGGAAGCGCCTTTTGGTGGGCAGTTCTTAGAGTCCCCGGCCACGTACCCGCGACGCAGCTCCTTCACCGACACGTTCTGTCGCACGAAATCATACATATGAGAGCGAGATACGAGATAATATGCGCATTCATTTTTGTGCAATCCTTATTCCTTACATTGACTAAGATCGTTCAGACATGAACAGTGTTTAAAACTTTTATCACTAAATTAACTTTTATAAATCTATCTAACTGTACTGCAATAACCCACAATTTTGCTATTTATTTAAAGTACCTTTATATGTCATATGTCATGCCCTAGTTCATATATATATTTTGTATATAACTTATATTATTGTATATTTCTTAGGCCAATGTAATTTATTACACAATAATATGTATATCGTTTTATACAAAGTCGTTTATCACCTTAACATTGAAGCCCACGTTGTCTCCCGGCATCGCCTCCTGCAAAGCCTCGTGGTGCATCTCCACCGACTTCACCTCAGTGGTGATAGCGGCCGGTGCGAAAACCACCACCATGCCTATGTATTTAAATAATACAGTATATTGTATATGTACTTATATTTAACAGGCTAACAGTTATGTTGATCTTATTTATTGTTTCAAAACCTGGCCAGGTTTACTCATATATATTTACGATAAGATTTCAAAATGCATTTTGCAATTTATAATCGCAATTAAATGACAAATCACATCTAACTTGATAATACGAGATTATGAAGATTATAATTACCTACTACTTTTAAGAATCAGCGTTTTAATTAAGCAATACATCGGCGGGTGTATCGGCATGACAACATACAGCTTGTTCAATAGGTATATGTAACTTGTTTATATTCTAAAACAAGTTTATGTGTTAATCCAAAATATAAGTTAATCTCAAAGATGAATAAACACAGTCATTCACAAAATTTTACGTTTATAACGTTTGACACGATTTTATTATAATATATCCATCCTAGGTACAGTAGCAGTATCTTTTGACTTTAAAGGGAATGCTGTGAAATGCAATGTGTGGTAAGGAGAGGTCCTTCACTTAGACCCGTCAATCTTAAAGCCATTTCCCGACTGTCATATATAAATGAACGTGTGACAGTTGGTAGCGCCTCACCCGCGTCACCCAACACAATCACCCTGTCTAGAGGCTTTCGTTAGAGGACTGGATTAGTAGACTGTGCTAGCGTCATCCGCGTCCCGTGCACTCTTCTTCTTCTTCTTGCATAGCTTTTTCCGCACTTAGGCAGTTCTGCGCGTTGTACGCGAGCTCTTATGCTATTTAGAGTGCTATTCTTTCCACCCCAGGTCGTCCCAGTAGTAAAGCAGGTTGCCGGTCTCCTGGAAGATTTCCGGGAGCGATCACTTGGGGCTGAGTTTTTCTGCGCTTAAGTGTACCAGTTTACTGCATTCTAGCAAAATGTGAGCTGATGTTTCATCCTCTTGAAGGCACGCTTTGCACAGGGCGATGTCCGTGTGACCTATATTGAAAAATATGTTTGTTGAGATGGCAGTGTCCTGTTATAGTCCCGTGCACTCACCTGGCTTCAATATACCGGTCTCGACTCGTCCGACAGGCACGGTGCCGATGCCGCCTATCTTGTACACGTCCTGCAGCGGCAGACGCAGCGGCTTCTCGGTGGGACGAGACGGAGGCTGGATGGCGTCCAGAGCCTGAATTCATTGATATAATTGATAATAATTGAAATTGAATATTGAATGGTAATAATATGAATTTTAATATTATGTTCCTTAAATATTTTTTCACATTGCATTAGATATTATTTTATTTGAAATATATATTTTACCTTAAATATGTATACTTAGGTAACTAGGTTATTTTGTTGTTATAATGATCTTTAGTGATAAACGTTATACGCTCTTTTGGGAAAGATAATTGGTGCGTGAGTCTTATGGATAATTTATCTATTACTATTCGCATAGATACCTACAAATATTTACGTATATTTATTTACGTGTATGTTTGTATGTGCGTTATATGTGTGTCACTTTTTATTACACCTACGAATTCAGTTAAGATTTAAGTTTTTTACCTAAATGACTCAAAAAATACCTATCTATGTATATTTTATCCCTTATTAAATATTCGATTGCTATAATTGGAGAACAGCTAACTTGCCAAATATCCACAATATCTTGAAACTTCCGAATTACGCATAAAAGGGGACTATTTAATGAAAAAAGCCGCGGTCTCTAGCTAGTGCTGATACGAACCTCAATGAGGGTCTTGCCCTCCACCTTGCCATCCTTGCGGTCAATGGTCCAGCCCTTGAACCAGGGCATTTTGTCGGACTGCTCGAGCATGTTGTCGCCGTGCCAGCCGGAGATGGGCACGAACGCCACCGTGGCCGGGTTGTACCCTGCGCACGGAGTACAGACGCTTCAGTTTTACCTACGTGCCTCGCATTCGTGTTTCGTGTTTATGGCAATGTTTGCGGTTACGTTACATCATAGATTCTTCATTATTGATAAAAAAAAGAAATAGAAGATTTACGGGCAAATAGCGAACAGCCAGTACATATTTCAGTCGTCCTTTTCGATTAAACTCGTCGGAATTATACGTACGTTTGAACGTTTTAAGATAACTAATTGAATGTAATTCATATTATTAGTCATCCATAATTCTATTAAAATACCTAACTTTACAAAGCTGTGCCAATACGAGATGCGTGATGAATCTTGTTGCTATTTTATGATCAAAAACGATTTTATATCGTTCATACTTTATACATAATATACTTTATATTTTATGTAAGTATATTCTATTAATTTTTTAATTTTATTTGATTCTGACGTTTTTTTAACTCAATTCTTTGTAACGTTCTACATAACAATATTGATAAAAGCACAAAAAAAGTTATTCATACCAATTTTCTTGATATACGAGGAGACTTCCTTCTTAATTTCCTCATATCGTGCTTCATGGTACGGAGGCTCAGTAGAGTCCATCTTGTTAACTCCCACAATCAATTGCTTGACACCAAGAGTAAAAGCAAGGAGAGCATGCTCGCGCGTCTGCCCATTCTTGCTGATACCAGCTTCGAACTCTCCGGTACCGGCCGCCACGATAAGTACAGCACAATCAGCCTAAGAAAGTATACATCATATTCTTACATTATAAAAGTAAAAAAATGTCTAAGTGTCTGTTTAATTAACTATCTTTTTTTCAATTACCTGAGACGTTCCAGTAATCATGTTCTTGATGAAATCCCTGTGACCAGGCGCATCAATGATGGTCACATAGTACTTGGCCGTCTCGAATTTCCAAAGAGCAATATCAATCGTAATACCTCGTTCACGCTCAGCCTTCAGCTTGTCCAACACCTGTACCAATCGATTAAGACGAAATAAAATAGAATAATCCTGTAGGTTTTAAAGTATCCTATGTAAGTATTTAATTTCCAATGTAATTTTTCTTACCCATGCGTACTTAAAGGAACCTTTGCCCATCTCTTGAGCCTCTTTCTCGAATTTCTCAATGGTACGCTTGTCAATTCCACCGCATTTATAAATGAGATGGCCAGTGGTAGTAGACTTGCCAGAGTCGACATGGCCGATTACGACGATGTTGATATGAGTCTTTTCCTTACCCATTGTGGTGTAGATTACACGGTTTTAATCAATTTAGATCTGATAATAAAAAAAATACATTTTTTTAAAATAACAATATTTATAATATTTTTTGATGAAATATTCAATGAGTTATTCAATGAATTCTCTAGTAATAATATTATATGACGGTTGAATAGAAGGAAACGACTTCTCGTTAGATTACAGATAAAATTGCAGGATCTAATAATGTTATATTACCTACTTCCCAAAAAAAAGTTTTTCAGTTAGTATCTATAGGTAATAACTATTTTATCAAGGTCGAAATTTATTTTCTTTCTAAATATCTATAAAAACGTACCCTTAATAAAGTGACTTATTAAATATAATCTAAGGTAAATAATAATTTAGAAATATTCTCAAAGTAAATAATATATGAAATATACGAAGAAGTGAGTAACTGGTTAAAGTATTACTTTAACTTAAATTACATTAATATTGTTCAATAATAGTAGGCAAAACAAGTACCTAAATATTAATGTTTTCTATTAAATTCATTTATTTCAAATTGGCTTATTTAATCCTACATCTAACATAATATTGCCGTATACAGAATGAGGCAGCAGACTGCCTGTTCCTACTTCTAATGTCAATATTATACAACAATCCATTTGCGTGTTGACCTTTCTGTTGCCTTCTTAGTTCTTATGCGCAGGTTTTTCAATAGGCACGTAAGCAGTAACGCAAAAAGAATAATCTTATAATATTGTCTCACACAGTTTAGATAAAACTTTAAAACATTGCAATATTTAAAGATATACTTAAATATAAAAAAAAAGATAAAAAGGAAATTTTGAACCACGAAGTAAAATAAAATGTTTGATAACATTCATATAATTAGATAGGCACTCGAGTAATTTGTTTGTTCGTTGCTATTTGAAGAAATATAACAAATTTAAAAATGTCCGGAACAGGATATAAAAAATCATGACCTTTGTCGTATCTTTCCTAGTAAGCTTAAAAGAAACTCGATGATATTTAGTGAATCTACCTGTTTAGATAGACGTTATAGCAATCTATATCGAATATCGAGGTCATCCTCATATTAAGAAAATTTCTTTATTAATATTAGATAATTATAATCTAATATTACCTTAAAATGCCGACTTCAATAAATATCCGGAAAATATAACTTAAGCTGTTATAAATTTCTTAGAAGATTTAATTTAAAAATAATGAATGCACTACTGTGTCTGGAATGCACTAAGTGGGAGGCTTCGATTGAACTGGCAGCAAATCTCCGGGACGAGCAACACCGGGCGTGCGCAGGACGTCCGGGACATCGATACAGCCAGCCTTTTACTCAAATATAGAACACATCGCAGAATCTCAACACACCTACATACGTGCCTTGCAATAACGCATTATTGATTTTGCATCACCTAAAACGGCACGGTTAGCGTCAAATACACAAAAAAACCAAACAAGTTAAAGCGATAATTCCCTTTTTATTTTCCACTTTTACTCTTGCTATAATATTATTAATTCTAGCTAGTTATTTCACAGCTCGCAAGCCTAAAATTTCATAATTTTCGCTTAGATGAGAAAGGTACTGCGCAAGTGATCACATCGATTATTATCACGAGAGTGCATACTATCTAAATTTAGAAGACTATTCTATATGCATTTAAATAGACGTATTTGCAAATGACATGCTCCGACTTGCAAAATTAGAAATTGCATGTCGCCTGTTTAAATACGTAGCATGTGTAGCTAAGAAACATTCTACTCGCACACGGTCTTGCCGGCGACTGCTGCCTCCATCTTGTGCGTAAAATGCATCAGCGGCATTGTAACTTCGTTAGATTTTATTTCTTTATTTTTTTTCAATTTAAATTTAAAAAAAAAGTCATATATAAAATGACGACGAGATGCCTTATTGAAACAAACTGAAATTATAGCATACATTTATAGTACCTGCTTATTTTTAATTAAAAAATAACACACATAATATTAACGAAAAAAGGCCACTATAAAATAATAGTACCTAATAATATAAAACCGAGAAAATTTCTGTACAAAAACCTTGTTGTCATTTTTTATTTTTTATAAATTGTCAAATAAGGAATATGTTTACTACATAAATATTTAGAAATATTCGCATAAATTGCTATTACCCAATTTTGTGAGATTGTACATAAAACATGAAATTGCGTAATTATATTAGGACGCCGGTATGTAAAGCTACGCATAAATTGTAGAAAAATAAAATTCTCCAAAATTTTACTCACTTTATAACTAATACGCTGCTTAATTATTTGTTTATCTTACCAAATATTTATTTGAACAATAAAAACAATAAATAGAATAGAAATTATGAGAAGACTCACCCTTCGCAGCTGCAGTGATGAATTTTCCTTCTGATTTTCAAGCATGCGCTCTGAAAGTTCGCCCGGGAAATGCAATCAATAAAATCAAATGAGAGATGTTTTTATATTTATTAAAAAATATCGCACAGAAAAAGAAAAAAACTACCTATTTATTAAAATTTTATATTGAAGTTGTTTTTACTTATAATAGCCCTTTTTTATCAGCCGTATTTAAAATAAAAGTATTGTAATTTGATTAGAAAAACGGATGTACACATTTTCTTTTCTTGTCGCAGATAATAAAAGACTTTAGCCAGCTTCAGACTGGTAATTTCTATTTAGTTTATTTTAATTATTGTAAAAAATATGTAATAACTTGCCAGAATCTTACCTATTACATAGATTGTCTGTAAAAGAGGATGTATGCTCTTTCATATTATAATGGTATGATGTGTTAATTGAGCATCTGCTTGAAAAAGATATTACAGTTTTGATTATATTTTTATTTAATAAATTTTATTATTAGGGTTTCCATAGAGTTAAGTCGAAACCCTATTATTGAGTCTGTTTGTCTGTACTAGTATAAAAACTTTACTTGAAAAATATTAAAAAATATATTAGTAGAGTTTAATTTGATGTGACTCTTACTCTTACACTTAAAAACAAAAACAATATTATGTTATATTGATATACATATATTGTATTGGATTACTCTTGGTGCGTGAGCCTAACTTGCATTTGGTCAAACTGTCTGGCGAGCCGTCTATTCAATCTTATTTTCTCAAAAACTACTAGAATGGAAAAAAAAATGAAATTGATGTATTAAATCAAATGGATTATTATATATTTATACATATAATGAAACAGTAACTTAGCGAAATCTGCACATGAAATAAATATTATTTAAAAACAATGACAGTCAATGACAGAAAGACCCCCAAAACAATAGTTATAATTTTTTATCTATTTCTCTGTATGTCTGTTGTCTATATGGATGTGTGCGTTTCACGCAAAAAGTACTGACTCGATTTTAGCTAAATTATATGTACCTAGTGATAACTTATTACTCGGGTGGTATATAATAATATAGACCCATATAATCCCGTTAATTGATATTATAAAGGCGAAAGTTTGGATGGATGTTTGTTACTCAATCACGCCCGAACGACTGAACGGATCTGGTTGAAATTTGGCACAGAGATAGATTATAAATAAATCACATGAGTTACTTTTTATCCCGGAAAAATGTACGGTTCCCATGAGATAGATTTATTTTTCATAAAACTAGCGATAGATTATCTATTCCATAGTAACCTTTATAACGTAGGTACCTACTTAGGGACGAATCGTAAGTCGCTAGTAAAGAAATATACTATATCTTTATGTGTAGTTTAAAAATTTTATATAAAAAAAATTCATAAACATTTTGCATTATCTTCACCCCAAGAACTCAGAAAGTCTAGAATAGAACTAGAATGAAAGTAGTTCACTCACTATATATTATATGTATAGGTATTACTTGCCTAACTAGCTATTTAGCTACCTAGCTATTTACCTACCTAGTATCTAACTATCTTCCGTCTTTAAAATAAGAGCACAATAGCCAGGGCCTAGGGCCCGTTCGTTCGTTTCATTTAAAGGAAAAGAGAGCTTAATTTTTTCACTAAGAATTGTTAATTTTTAAATTAATATAATTTAGAAACCAGACCAGACTTCGTAATAGTTTCAACACAACAAGCATTTTACTAACAAAATAAACACCTACCTATAGTAAAACGAAATCCGTTCGGCCGAATAAAGCTATGTAAGATTAAGTACGAGTATAGTAAAACTATATTTTTAAAGACCCAATACTACTTTTTCAAAGACCCAATACTGCTTATTTCGGCGGGTAGACATAAAAGTATATAGACGTATTTTTTTGAGCTCCACTTTATTTAATTAAATAAATGTAACTAATAATTTATATGTGCTGATTGAGTATTACCTGTGCTTAAGTTGACTTAACTGAACTCACACACATACTTTAAAGTTTAAATACCAATTACAATGCATGAGACGTCGCACAATCCTATAGGTAGGGGTTTTTGCTTAAAACCTTTGATTATATTTATCATCCAACCTTCTGGCCTAAATTGAATCACTACAGGGCACTGCGCTGGTCGTATTGCTCCTACCCCAATCAGAGAATACAAAGAAATAAGAATGGGTCATGGGTGTACCACAAGGATCTATTCTTGTTTTTTTTTTTGTTTTCACTATATATATTAATGATTTGCTTTCCCATGTGAAGAAATCACCTAAGTATGTGAAACTCTTTTCAGATGATATTTCTTTAATTTTTTGAGCTGAACGTAGTAAACCAAATTATGACAAAGTAAGCAGTGCACTGTCCCATAAATGACATATACTTCGCTGGTTTGAGGTTGAACTTATCTATTATTAAATGCCAAAAAAAAACAAAATGTCGAATTTACATTGCCTAACGTAAAAAAGCTAAATTTTATGATTCTGAATAATAAAACATTGGTATTTTTAGGCTTGAATGATGAACCCATGGAACCCTTAACACTACCCAACAGCCGACTTGTATATTTTAGTCATTATCATCTATGAATAAATGCTTTTTAAAGTATTTATTCGTAGATTATCATGCTATATTATCTTACTGGACACATTTTGAGATCATTCCGCAAAAAATAATTCGACGTTTATTCTACAAAAGAGTTTATGATCTGCGAGTCCAAAAAAATTCTAACAAAATTATCCAAAAAGTGAATAAATTCTTCATGGGGCTGGTATTACGTATTACGCATTTATTATGGCTTAAGAAGGCTCTGACTACCTATCTTTTTCCAGTATTTATTTACAAATGAAATAGCTATCGTGGTAGTCTTGCCAATAAACTTTGCACAAACCTATAATGTTTAGAATATTTGGCAGTTTATCACTCTTCGCAAATCACTGAACACAACGATTGCATATTTCAATTGGCTTGGTAGATTCAGAGAGAGAGCCTAACCTGTAATAAAATAACCGAATCCCATATAAAAACTGGTCAGGTGGTTATGGACTAAATAATAACCACACGCGGGTAGAGGTGCATGAAGTTAGTTTTAATACATTAAAACTCTACTTTGAACTTTGGTGATGTAGAAGCGCTTGTCTAAATGTCGTACCAACAAGCTTATGCCGCTGCCCTCTGCCTGTTGTAACTTCTCCTTGACCTAAATATTTGTATCGATCATAAAGGTTTCGTCATGAAGTGCTCTTATAAAGAGAAAGATTCAGAAACGAAAGATGTTGAAACCAAATGGTTTTTCACATTTTGTTGTAACGCACTATACGATGTTAAAAAACGTCGTTAAGTGGCGAAGTTTAATGAAAAAAAAAATTTACTTCTTTATTATTTTAGTACTTAAACTTTATACTTATCATGTAATGATAAAATAGTAACATTAAACTTTAACAAATTTACTGGACCTGTTAATAAATAAAACAAAAATTATAAATTTATTTCATTTATTTTCATATAAACAATGTAGTACAATATAATTTATATGATCCAAATTATTAAACACAAAATCATAACTATTCTTTCGGATATAACACCAAATAATATTATTATAAAAATTAAATACTAAACGAAAAAATACCTTAATTAGATAGTTTTACTAATACAAATAGTGAACGTTTGATGGAAAGTTATAGTTGGATGTCATTAAGCATGATCTATCTTATAATAGAACTAAAGGCACTATCAGACTGGTGAAAATTATAATCATGATCCTTATGTGGTTGTTTTAAAGCCGTTCCCATTATTATCGGTTATTTCCATAAAACAAATGTCATTATACTTTTATACAAATCTATACATATAATAAAGTTGAGTCGAATAGATAAAATTTTTGTGGAAAATCTTATTGAAATAGTCATTATTATCGATACAGAGACCGAATCTTTAGGTTTTAGAATTTTTGTGACTGTGTATCTGTGACCGCATCACGAGAAAACCACTGGACAGTTTTTGACTAAATTTGGTATGGTGGTAGCTGGTTATCCGGGTCAACATATAGAATACTTTTTACTGCGGGAAAATATCTCATCTCTGAGTAATCTACACTAAACGTTAAAACGTAAAATTTAAATGTTTCTCCAGTAAAATATAAATGTTGCCCATCTCTCGCGATGGATGTAATGATGAAATGAAAATATGTATAAATATAATAGAGAATTTACAGTATTAATTGAATCGCTTTGGAATGTGTAGTTTAAATAGTTAAAAGATAAGTTATCATTTTAAATAGATATAGCTAATATAAAGGTCTATTTTATTATGTACCTGCCCATAAAAAAGAAACTCCAAACCCTCTGCTTAAATAATATTTAATCGATTAAATCAAAAGAATACAAAATCAAGTAAGCCTGAGTGAGGTGATAGACGCGATCTGTTCAAAAGCCGATACAGGCAAATTAATTCTTAGGAGAGGCATGATTATATATAAATTATAAATGAATTAATTTTCGGTGCAAAGTATAAATTGGACACGTAAATATGATTACAAAGTATATAATTTATAAATATTGAAACAGGATGGATTAATCATACTGAGTAGCGCTTAGCACTTCTGCTTAGACTCTCGTTATCTCTCCAAGATGTGTATGAAGATATGTATGCAAGTATACAAATAGAAGTTTTTTTTACTAAGTCTTACTCGTACTTTGATATTATAATATATTACAATCTCTGTAAATATTTCAAAATGGAACGTTCTGTTTAAATTTCATACAAGTTTGCAAACTTTATACGAAGATAACATTTTTGAGCGAAATCGATCTTGTGTTAGTGTCATTTTCATTTGCCTCCGGGCCATGGTAGGTAGCTCCCCCAGCCCTTACCTGGATTGGGATCCTGACCTAAAACAAAGAAAAATAAGGCTAAGAGTTTTAATCTAATATTAATATTTATAAATTATAACTTAATATTTAATATATTGAAGGCAATGGTAGTTGGCTTGCTTAGGAAACTGAGTGAAGCGGGTTCAAACCCCATGTCTCGCACCTCTGATATTTTCATGTGCGAATCATTTCTAACATGATTATCACTTGTCTTAACAGTGAAAGAGAACACGTGAGAGGCTGAATATATGCATTAACATACATATTTAAGTGTTCACTAAGCATCTTGAAAATAACGTCGTTAATATATATGTTGGGACATTAACACACAGCATCACCTAGTCCCACAGTAAGCTGCGAAGCCTGTGTTATGGATACCAGATAGATGATGATACACTACACATATATAACTTTAAATACATACATATTATAAATATAAACACCCATGACTGGAGTACAAACATTCGTCATCACACAAATGAATGCCCCCAGCGGGACTCGAACCCGCGACTGCTGGCACAGCAAGTAGAGTCACTACAAACGCTAGCTGCGTAAAAGTCGGTTTTTGGTCTATTATGCGGATTGCGGACCAAATCAGGTGGAACAGAATGTCGATCTAGAGCGCGAGCACGCCGTAAAAAGCCAACATTGTTATTTCCAATATATAAGAAATATTTTATATACATAATTTATAAGTATATAAATGACTATATTTACTTGAATTTTATTTTAATAAATAATATTTACTGAAGAAATGTAGGTAACAAGTTTTTATAAAAAAGCGTCTTCATAATAAATTGATCAGTAATTCTAAGATTGTATGAGAAACACGTAGAAAATTATTATTTAATATTGATAAATAGATGGAATTACATAATACTTTCTTAGATTTACGCGAATGTTTGACATTATTAAATAAAACTATCTTTTCGGATTATTTCGCGGATTTATTTTGATTTTTGGTTCCCGACGTTTCGAATGCTTTACAGCATCCATGGTCACGGGAGAGACTGAGGTGTTACATGTCTTAAAGATATAGTTGTTACAGACAGCCTACCCACAATTAACAAAATGAAAATTGCACCAATTACATTACAATATTTTTTAAATTAAAACATTTTTATAATTTTAATTATAATTAAATATGGAAAATTATTTATTTAATTTTTGCTATTATTTTTATAATTATTACAATTTTAAAAATATTAATTAGTAATCTATATTTAGTGTTGCCATTATTATATTTATAACCATAAATAAAAATATAAAAATATAGTATTAATTATTAAAGCCATATAATTGTGTCTATGTGTAATTTAAAAAAGTTAAAATTAATTAAGGATAATCATTTTAATTTAGTTTGCTATTATTTAAAAACAACTTACTAAGCAACACTATTAATATATACTTTTACAAATGAAAAATATTAATCTGATAAGCTGTCATTTTGATCTACACAGTATGAACTTACTACATCTGCCTGTCTGTTATGTTTATATTTATTATTTGATTTTATTATATTAATAACATCCAAAAAAAAAACATCCAAATTTCAATAGGGAAGATGGCTGGGTACTACCATCGTCATGGGATCCTGTTATTAATATAATAAAATCAAATAATAAATATAAACATAACAGACAGGCAGATGTAGTAAGTTCATACTGTGTAGATCAAAATGACAGCTTATCAGATTAATATTTTTCATTTGTAAAAGTATATATTAATAGTGTTGCTTAGTAAGTTGTTTTTAAATAATAGCAAACTAAATTAAAATGATTATCCTTAATTAATTTTAACTTTTTTAAATTACACATAGACACAATTATATGGCTTTAATAATTAATACTATATTTTTATATTTTTATTTATGGTTATAAATATAATAATGGCAACACTAAATATAGATTACTAATTAATATTTTTAAAATTGTAATAATTATAAAAATAATAGCAAAAATTAAATAAATAATTTTCCATATTTAATTATAATTAAAATTATAAAAATGTTTTAATTTAAAAAATATTGTAATGTAATTGGTGCAATTTTCATTTTGTTAATTGTGGGTAGGCTGTCTGTAACAACTATATCTTTAAGACATGTAACACCTCAGTCTCTCCCGTGACCATGGATGCTGTAAAGCATTCGAAACGTCGGGAACCAAAAATCAAAATAAATCCGCGAAATAATCCGAAAAGATAGTTTTATTTAATAGATGGAATTACCTTTAGCAATCGCCTGTATTTTATGTGTCTCATCTGAAGAAAGTGTTAAAATTTTTTGGAGCACTGGCACTAAGCGACTGCGTTCATCTCCTGGTGGCAGCGTCAGGAACTAAACCAAACAAATATATTACTAAGAAAACCCATACATAAGAAACATATATCCTATAAGATATTATACATTATAGAAATAATATTAATTTATTAATAAACTAGTATTGCCCGCGGCTTTGCCTGCGTTCAGTAGATCAAAAACCAAATTCTTAGGTTTTACATATTACTACTCTTACAATGCAGTTTTTGTAATTTTTCTCAGACCAGCTATCACCATACCAAATTTCATCAAAATTTCTGTGATGCGGTTACAGACAGACAGACATTTAAATTCAATCAATAAGATTTAAAAAAAAATATATTTAATGTACAGATTCGGCTTAGTTACAATTTTATTATATGTATAGAAAATAATTTTGTATTCAATTGCATGTCCGAATTAAAAGTATATGATTATTATTGCTGTTACATCTATCTAGGTAAAACTGTAAAAGTCATCTGAATTGTAATGGGTATAATTTACAGAACTGTACATACATAAATGACATAATATATACAAACAATTCAATAGGTACCAATTATTGCTATAAATAAAGTACGCTATATTTTCGCCAATTGTAAATCAATTTATATAATCATTTTTTTGATAAAAAAGGTAACTCAAGGGTGGTTGTATATACAATTACAAATCTTCATCTTCTTCTTGAATAATAGGGAATATGCATGTTTTTTTTTAATTTTTTATACAATAGCTAACATCGTCATAGAATTGTAAATAAAAATATTCAGCTCAAAAAAAATCATAAAAAAAAATATCATACCGATACTGACACTTTAAACGCCCGCCATTTCGCGCGCTTAACCTCAAAGTATCATACATACAAAAATGACGACTTTAGTTTGTAGTAACAAAATCGCTAATCGCTCTTTAAATCGGTATGATAATACTTTGGACGTCATATTCCGTCTGACCAATAGCGTGCATTTCAACTACTTTGAATTTCTCACTTATATTTGCACTTTTAATAATTATTTTCTTAATCAAAAAAAAATTACAATGAAAAATATTGATATATGCTTAATTCAAAAGCAATAAAGATTATGACAAAAAATATTTCACCTTTATTTAAATCACACGCATGTTCCCTATTACTTTTAAAAAATCATTATTTACTTATTGAAATTTCACTCAAAAGTGTACTAAGTTCTGCTACATCATTAAAGTATTAAAAAGTAGAATAAACTACAAGGATTATTCAGAAGTTACCTTGAGCGTAACATTCTTCATGTACTCAGTGTTGTGTGCGTGCGGCGCGGCGCGCACGCGGCGCAGCTCGCCCTTCAGCAGCTCGCTGAGCTGGCCGAGGCGCGCGCACTCGCGCTCCGACTCAGCTAGCAGCACCGTTACGTGCTTCACTCTATTGGCACAATAATATCACAGTATAATAAAAACTTTTAAAAAATATTAATAACCGACTTCCAAGCACTAAAAAGTAAAAAATAACTAAATGAGGGTTTTCATTTAGAATAGATACCTAATCAGATATTTTCGAAGTCAGCGTGCTTTGATTTGCATCGGCTGGCACCGACTTCTAAAATATCTGATTAGGTATCTATTATAAATGAAACCCCCCTTTTAGTTATTTTTTACTTTTTAGTGCGTATAAATCGTTTTATTTAAGTTTTTATTTTCCCATTTTTAGAGTAAACGTAATAAGCAGATAATTTGTAAGAAGAAAGTTTTTTTAATAACATATTTGATTAAGCCATTTATTTAAAAATAATTTATTGTTGATTTTTTAAAAGACCGCTCGACCGATTTCGATAAAATTTAAATGGGACAACCTGGAAAGTATACCATTTGAAGCCAATCGGTTCAGGCGTCTACGACGAACATAAAATCTCCTCCTTTTTGGAAGTCGGTTAAAAATCCATACAGCAGGCAATCGAGCATTGATTTTAATGGAATGCTGTCAATTATAAAGGTTGTAAAAAAATAATTTCCCAGGCGAATGGTGTCAAAAAATATTTGTTAAGCACTAAAGTGCTATCTCATGGCTGGTTACAGTTTCATATAAAAGAACGTATAGTAGTCGGGTGCGCCTCACACGCGTCTTCTATCGTATGCCCTGCGTGATTTCTCTAACTAGAGGCCTTCGTTATACCACTGTATGGATTAGTAAGCTGTGATAATACTATGAAATTAACCATAACATTATGATGGAACAAGGAAGTGTTTCCTCGAGAGACTACTACCTAGTTTTGATACAAATTTGCATGATAATTATAAACAAGATTGAAAGAAATCTTTATCCTAGCAATTAAAGGATATCATGATACGATTAAGTTATATTTAGTAATAAATAATATTAAGACAGTGGTAGCCCAGTGGTAACGCGCTCGCTTGGGAAACAGAGTGAAGCGAGTTCAAATCCCTGGTCTCGCACCTCTGATATTTTCATGTGCGAATCATTTCCAACATGATTACCACTTGTCTTAACGGTGAAGGAAAACATCATGAGGAAATCTACGTATCTGAGAGAATCTAGCAAGTTTTCAAACGACATGTGAAGTCCGCCAACCCGCACTTGGCCAGCGTGGTGGTCTATGGCCTGATTCCCATCGTACTGAAGGGAGGCCCGTGCCCAGCAGTGGGACGTTAAAAAAAAGGGTTGAATACAATATTATTTAGCACAATCTCTTTTCTTACAATGTTAAAAGAAAAACAATCAAGGACTAATTTAATTACTACAAATTAGCTAGATAACAGAGCACTTCAGAATAAAAAAATACCTTTGTTGCTGTGCTTGGACCTTCCTCCTCAAATCGGCAATCTCTTGTTCTGAAGTAAGAGAAAGAGAAGAAGAGTCGAGGAAATCATTGTCTGGAACCCCTTCTTCTAAGAGCCTCTCTAAAGGTATAGGAGAACGTCTTCCGCCACTCGATAAGAGCGATTTCGACAATGGTGGGGATGGAGCTGCTTCAGAACCCTAGAATTATATCTTCATGTAGGAATCAAACTAACATTAAGTACGCGTATCCTGCTAATTGAAATAATTTTTTTTATCCATTTTTCCTTCTATATTATTAAAAAGATGAAAAGCATGGGTTTTTTTACGAGAAAATAGAAATACAATATGAATAGATCAAAACAAGTTAAGTATTTCTTGAGTGGGATAAAAATAGCATTGCAATGTACATAATATGTACTTCTACTTCAATGTAATAAATGAATTCTTTCAAGAGTTCCTACATTAGATATAGTGCCCACTTCCAGTGGTACTTGTAATAATAATCTCTATTACGTGTCATATACACGTAAGCCATTGTTAACATAAGTATCGGACACGTGCCATATAGCATGTATATTATTACTGTGAAGTGACGACATTTTACTATTTATTAGTTTCAGTTATGGTAAATGAATAGAAAGAAAAACAATTAATTACGATACAGCTGATAACAAAACTTAATAAACTGTAATACACTAAAAAACATTACATAATATATGGATATGAATCTCAATTGGTTTATTAACAAATCCTTTTTTTGTATTAGGATAGATACCTTTATGATGATACTGATATCAATAAATGTTATAAGATTTATTTGTTTGTTTGCGATAAGTGTCTGTTCTTAGTTAAAATAAAACATAAGCCAATATTGATGGAAGGAATGTGGATTACCACCTACTGCCACTGAGAAAATTTCATTATCCAATCTAACACTGATAAAAAACAGATGAGTTCAATCTTCCTGCTGTGCCGCACCAGTCTAAATAATACGAAATTATTTTGTTGTAATCTCTGAATATTGGGACCAGAATAATACATTTACCCGATGATAAAAACTTTGACGGACACATTTTAGTTGAAATTAAGTAGTTAAATAATTCAATTACATAATTTTTCAACATCATATACCTATTATGAACACAATTTGCACCTATTACTGATAGTAATGTAAAACATATGTTAAATAAACTCTCTGATTGAAGTAGCCGTAGAAAGGTTTTTTTTTGGTATAGTGTAAAAAAAATACTAATTCTTATAGTGAGGTATCAATGACGACAAAAAAGCATTAAAAAAAATTAAATAATAAAAATTTTATAAAAAATATATCATTGTCTAGTGATGACTCTTAACTATTTTTGATACATGTTTGATGTGTGAAATAGTCTGTGGGAAAAATTTTGGGCGACAATTAAACTGCATTACGCCTACACCTATCCAACTCGCACTTGGCTAAATTTTGTCAAGCAAAGAAAAATAGAAATAACGAAAGAAACTACCTCTCCTTCCTCTCTCGGTATGAGAGACACGTTGATGTCCATTTCGTTATCACTGCCCTCCTCTCGAGGTATGACTGGCAGTGTATACTTCTCACGACTCGAGTCTACAATACGTTTTCCAGCTTTAATGTTTTCTTGCAAAAGTGCGAGCTGCTTATTCAGACTCTCTGTTTCTTTATGTAATCTGGTCTCTAGTTCACTTATCTGTGTCTTGTAGCACTGTGTTAATGTTGAAATCTAACAGAGAATAAGCATAAAATATTTTAAATGATATAAACAATAATTAATGTATATCTATACATATAATAAAATTGTAACTAAGCCGAATTAGTACATTAAATATTTTTTGGAAAATCTTATTGCAATAGACATTATTATCGATACAGAAGCCGAATCTATAATTTTTAGAATTTTTGTCTGTCTGTTACCGCATCACGGAAAACCACAGGAGGGATTTTGATGAAATTTGGTATGATGGTAGCTGGTTATCCGGGTCAACATATAGGATACTTTTTACTGCGGGAAAATATCTCATTTCTGAAAAAACTGCGATGTAAGAATATACTAATATGTAAAACTTAAGAATTTGGTTTTTGGTCATCTGAACGCGGGCGGAGCCACGGGCCATGCTAGTATACATATAAAGTTGCTCGCCATGACTGATACAATATCACATCAAATTCTCATATGTGTAATTATTCTAAAACTACTTGATAGTTTTATCAAAATGGGCACACACGGTAATTCCTTAAGGCTTATATTGTTATTTTAAAGCTGTAGGATATTTAATTGAAGCCGCGTCCCCAAAATATTTATTATTATATTTAAAAATGGAGCCTGGAATTGAGAGAACTTTGTAGTGCAATACGCCTCGGTATTTCGTAGAACACAGTAAATGCCAGTCCATCAATTAATTACTAAGTATATTATTTATTCTCTTCTATAGCATTATTTCAGACGTTTAATAGACTTTTACTTTTTAACGTTTAGTATAGATTTCTCAGAAATGTGATATTTTCCCGCAGTAAAAAGTATCCTATATCGATACTTCGGGGCTCAAAGGTCGTAAGCACCAAAATGATTCGAAGATCGACTTTACAGGAGAGCCAAAAAACAAAAAAATAAATAATTTTGGACATAACTTTTTTAACCGACTTCAAAAATGAGGAGGGTCTTCAATTCGATTGGTATTTTTTTTATGTATGTACACCGATTACGCTGAGATTTATGATCCGATTTACGTGATTCTTCTTTAGTTTGATGCGGAATAGTTGCCATTGGGTCCCATAAAAATTCAACATAGTTTGGCCCAGTAGTTTTCATTTTATGGACAATTTTGTTTACATGGACGATTTGTGACGATACGTGGCTGTTTTAAGGAGTTTTCATTTAGGTTGCTTATATCTTATTATTATCTCGTGTCCAGATAAGTGGGTATTAGGCTACCTGTGATTAAAGCGGAGCGAGCTTGCGGAGTAGAGAAATTGAGAAATATTATAACCAATCGTTACAGTATTACCTACTGTAGTTAATAGAACAACAAGTCGGTGCCTTTAGTATAGGTTGTATTTGAGTGTAGTTACCTACCTACTATTACATTTGGCTTGGCACCGACTTCAAACCTATCAATAGGTAGCACATACAAATAATAGTATTTTATTAATATTAAAGGTTTGCATAAGAGGTGTATTAAATTAATATATATATCTATACTTATTATAAAAATAAGTCCCCCGGCCGCGTCTTTCTGTCCTCCTGTCTGTCCTCCTGTCTGTCTGTACGCGATAAACTCGAAAACTACTGAACGGATTTTTATACGGTTTTCAACAATAGAAAGAGTAATTCTTGAGGAAGGTTTAGGTATATAATTTATTATGCTTTTATGTAAATTAGCTGAAATACGGCGACAAATGTTGAAGAGGTCGCAAAAAATCTCGCCAAATGGGAACTTTCCACGCGAACGCCGCGTAAACTAGCAAAGATACAGTTAAGTAATGTACTAGAGAATTCAAAATCTATAAAAATGCTACAAAAAAGTCCGCGATAGCATATCTCTATCTCTTACGGTTGACTTACAATAACCACTTTTATGTTAACATTTTTAATTAAAAACATTACGTTATTTTCAAAGTTATTTTCTTTAGTTCGGTATTAATCCTTATCCAAATGAATATTTTAGTTAGCTTAGTCATTTAATGCAGATTAAAATTGCTCTTTACACTAAATCAATCAGATGAATAGTTTTTGAGATATCGTTGTTAGAAGTAATTAGTAGCGAAACATTTTTAATGCTTGGCGAGCATTGAGATGCCTACGGCGAGTCCATCCCCTCTGCCCCGCATCGCTCGACCGCCTGCTCAAGCTATATAAACCGGGCGATGTAGCGCGCGATCCTAGGATACTTTTTACCGCGGGAAAATATCTTATTTCTGAGGAAAAATACAAAAACTGCAATGTAAGAGTATACTAATATGTAACACCTAAGAATTTAGTTTTTGGTCATCTGAACGCGGGCGGAGCCGCGGGCAATGCTAGTTTTGTGAATAATTTTCATTAAGCTCTAGTTGTAGTTTTCAGACTAGGACTCGGTTCTTAAATGCCATTTGCATTAACATTACGGAAGCTCCAGAGAACTTAGCAAGTTTTCGAAAAACATGTGAAGTCCGCTAACCAGCGTGGTGGACTATGATCTAATCCTCCTCGTATTGAAGGGAGACCCGTGACCAGCTGTGGGATATAATACCTGTATCTTTTGTTGCGAGCGCTCCGAGTCGAGCTGGTGCGAGAGCCGCGCGAGGTCGGCCTGCAGGCGCGCGGTGCGCTGCTGCGCGCGCGACGTCTCTGCGCTAGCCTCTGCCAAACGCTTTCTACCAGCTTCTACCTCTGCATTCATATCTGAGCATTGCTGTCTGTTGAAAATAATTACGAGTAAATAATAAAGAAATATGTCCAAATAATAAGAAAATATTTTAATATGTAAACAAAAAAGTGGATTCGAATAAAACTTAGCACACAGATAGACCATGTCTTGGACAAACACAACACCGCTTTAGTTTTTAACTTCCTTTATTTAATTTAAAATTGTTAAGTTCAAAAGAACCCTATGTGCTTACTGAATGAGTTCTAAGAAATGAATTTTCTCTTATTACTATGCGGCCTTATGTGACTCCATAACTTATTACAATTAATGCCAATAACAGACTTACTCTACTGTATTAAGCTTTTGAGTTAACGTCTCTACTTGAGCTTTCAACGCTGCCGCCTCTTCTTTCAACTGTTCCTCTTGGCTGTGGTCGACTGTTTGATTTTGTCGCAGAACTGCCTGAGCTCGTACCTACAATTAATTATTTATTAAGATTAATAATTCCACTTTAACAACTTTATATGAATATTTTGTTTAACTAATTGACTAATTAATAAAGGAGTATGCAAATTTTTGACCACATTTTTTTTCAAATTCGACATTATGTAAGAATTCTATTTAAGAAGAAACCAACTCAATAAACCATAACCAATCACAGATATTGTGTTTGCTATTTCTTTTTACTCAACAAGTTTATGTAGAGTGACTTGCCACTCACTTAGATCATATACAAATGTTACTGCTAAATTTGTTTGGGAAAACAGAGTAATAAGTGAATCTATTTTTATGTTTCTATTACTTTGTACTTGGATATTCTTCAAAATCGAAATATATCTTTTTTGGGGTTTATTTTCTTTCTTTCAACAATTTTTAACACTTTTATATGATCTAGAAAGGAGCTGAGTCATTCTATGTAATAGGCTTGAGTAAATAAAGTAGTATTTGTTAAAAAAATAACCTGATCAAAATTTATAACAATCACTATATCTTTAGTTTGTTTAGTTTAGCGAGTTTGTTTCTTCTTTAAAAGAAGACAGAAGTATAGTAGTCTCATAGTCTTCTAATTATTATCTAAGTTTAAAAAAGTATGATGCCACTGGTCCTTAAAAAAGGTTGCATTGTTCTTTATGAGTTAAATTTAAAAATATATAACTTGAAAAGTAAATATACTTTATAGCTAGTGTATTCTGTTTTCAAATCTGCTAATTCTATATTTGTAATGCGCAGCTTTTCATTTAGTTCCGCACACTTAAATTCCAACTTCTTCATTTTACTATTCAACTCCACTTTCTCTTCTCCAAAGTTCATAATTATCCTTTCCTTTTCGCTCAGAACTGATGTCATTTCCAATTCTGCTTCTTCATTCTTCCGCTTTTCATCTTCAAGGTCGTGCATTAATTTTGTTATAATATCTTTTTTAGCGTTAACCATATTTTCTTTTTCCTTCCCGTCTTCTATAGCTTGTTGTAATTCTTCTTTAAGAAGTCTATTTTGAGTTTCTTCTGTCTTTATTTGTTCTTCTAACAGTTTAATTTGAGTTTTCATAGCTGTGATGGTACCTTCTTGTGTATCGATTGTAGATTCCATCTGTAAATGAAGATAGTAGAATTAATATTTATACTATTCACATCACATACTGTATTTTAAGTATTTTTTTCACCTGTACAATTTTTTTCTTATTTTCTTCCATTTTCGTTGTAAGTTCTTTCATTGATCTCTCATAGTCTTCCATTTCAAGGCTCAGAACATTCTTCTTTTTTACATCTCTTAGAGCTTTCTCTAACTGTCCCTTTGTTACCTTATGTGCCTCCTTTTCAGCTGTCAACTGCTGATTCTTTTCAAGAATATTTGCTAAACAACAATAAAATTATAAATATACTTTTTTTTTTTAAATTAAAAATAAAACACAAATTAAGATCTCTCAATGCGTCTAAATATTAATTTGACAATGTAAACTTTTATACCTTCTAATTCTGCTATTTTAGCAGTTGCTATTGTTGATTTCTCTAAATCTGCAGTTAAGTTTCTTACTTTTGCTTCTAAATCGGTAATATTAGACTTATTTGTTTCATCTTCATTATTATTAAGCCCATCTGTGTTGATTATCTTTTGTTTATTATCCAAATTACTGTCAGCCAATAATTTCTTTAATTTCATTTGTTCTTGCTCAGAGGATTGCAATTGTGTTGTTGTTTCATTTAATTTCTTTTTTAATTTCAAAGCAAACATTCTTAGCTTAGTATACCTAGAAATGATGCATTATAAGCATGCATATTTGCAAAATAACTTTTAGATATTAAATAGTTTTTTAAGCAATTATTTTGTAAAATTGTGCCTAAAATTATTTTTTGTTTGTTTGTATCGAATAGGATCCGAAACTACTGAACCGATTTAGATGAAATTTAGAAAGGAGATAATTTGAGACCCTGGGAAGGACATAGAATAGATTTTATCCCGGAAATCATTCCTTAAGGGAGTGAAAATGGGGGTAAAATTTTGTATGGGGAAGCAACCTAGGGACGAACCCGAGCGAAGCGAGGCGCGAGAGAAGGCGGAGCTAGTTTTTTATAAGAGACTCGCGATGCTAATGCTGCTTTTAGCATCGCTAATCTCTTGAGCTTGGAGCCAGCAGCAAAAACAGTGATGGGTTGGACAAGAACGGCAGTGTTTTTTAGTGAATAAGATTTCTTCTTTTCACTAATCAATTAATCTACTGAACTTAAATAACTTAAATTTGTCTGACCATTCCCTATGACATAGGAATCCGCTAATATATTTTTTTATTTAACTTAGTAAAGGTTAGAATGTAATAAACGCATTTACTCATACACCAACCAATTTTTCCACCGCACATATTTGATATTAAGTGTGATAGTGCATAAAACTAACAACTTACTTATCCTCAAACGTCTCATCTAGATCTTTCATACGAGAATGATCTTCGGCTCTTGATATTGTTGAAGTTGACATGTCATCGTTAGGTAATTCAACAGCTATAATAAAAAAAAATCTGAATTAATATTGGTAGCATTATTTGATGTAGACATTGGCATAGGAACACAGAGATGGGTACGCCTCTATCTCATGTCTGCCATAATGATTCTACCCCGAGTATTCAACATAAGTATATATGTACATTTTTTTTAATATTTTGATCAAACTGGAATAGTATAATCTAATCACCATTGCCCCAATTAAATATTTCGAACTTACTAGAACTTTGTCTTAGTTTTTCTAATTCTTCTTTTAAACCTAAAATTATAGCATCCTTTTCTTCTAGAAGATTCAACGCGGTATCCTTTTCTATTGTAATTGTTTTCACAGCTGCATTATTTTTACAATTGTTTTGTTCAGCGTTTTTCAAGTCACCTCGTAAATTGTCTATTTCATTTAAGAGACTATCTCGTTCATCTTTTATAGCATCTCTATCTTTTTCGAGTATTTCAATAAGCCTTTCCATTTCCGAAATAGCTTTTTGAAGTTTAGATATAGTTTCTCCTCTCTCTTTAAGTACTTCATTAATTTCTTTCATTTCATTCAACAATTCACCATTTTCATTCTTGTAACATGCAAGTTTAGATTTCATATCTTCATACTCTACAACCATATTGTCAAAATCTTTTATTTTACCCCTTGATTCTTTAACTTCTAATAAAAGAGATGCATTTTCTTGTTTGTAAGCAGCCAGTTTTGTTTCCAATTTGGCTACATCTGCTTGTAACGAAACATTTAAATCTGAGAGATTATATGTATCATCTTTTGGTTGTTCTAGAGAAAGTTTTAGAGTCTCAACTTCTTCTTGCAATAAGCTATTTAAATCTTGTATATTATCATACTCTTTTTTTAACTTATCATATTGTTCCTTGGATAACATTTCTTCTCTTTTAAGCTCTTTTATGATTTCATCTTTTTCTAAGTTGTAGTTATCTTTCATTACTTCATTTTCCTTTTCAATACAAGCTATATGATTATTCATATTATGTAATTCCTCTCTCATTTTACTAATTAAATCATTTAATGACTTATTTTTATTTTCTAAATCTAATATGTTATCCTTGGCATTCTGTTTTTCTTTAACCAATGTAGCTTTTTCTGATTCTAAAGCTTTTATAAGTAGATTTGTCCGCTCTTGCACTTCATCATTGTCCTTTTTGGATTGTAACATATTTTTTAATTTGGAGTTTTCCTGTGTTAAATTTGCTATAGTTTCTTCGAATTTAGTAGAATTAACTGTCACAATATCTAATTGGGCTTGAAGTTGATTTATTTTTTCTTTTAATATAGCATTTTGATCATTTTTTTCTTTCAGTAACTGTGATTCAGTTTCTTTTCCTCTTAAATTTGCAATTTCATCAATTAAGGTGACATTAGTTTTGTTGGATTCTGAAAGTTCTTCTTGCAAGTCAAATATCTTGGAATTTAATACTTTAGCATTTTCCTTTAGTTCATTTATTTGACATTTTAAGTAATTAGAATCACTTTGAGTAGAAGAGAGGTCTAATAACTCTTTTTGTTTTTGCTGCAATTTGGTTCTTAAATCATTATTTTCTTTATTTAGCTCTTTCATTTGTCCTTCAAGAACTTTAGATGCCTTAATTATTTCATTTTGCCACTTAGGTATGTTTTCTGAATATTCTTTTACAGTTTTTGTCAAAATAAATCTCGAATTTTTTAATTGGTTTATACAATTAGCACATTTCAAAATTTTATCTTTATAACTTCTTAGTTTGATATTAGCTCTTTCTTTTTTAGATTTCTCAGATTCAAATAATTTAGTCAATTCTTCTATTTTAATTGCATAATCTTGTAATTGAGTGTTACTATCTGCCGGTGCAGCTGATTTTAAATTTGTTTCTAGCTCTTCAATTCTCTTATTCAGCTGTTCAACTTCAGCTTGATAACTTTCATCTGAAAACAAATATTTCATTTTAAATTTTAATAACCCTGAATTGAATAATTTGTTGAAAGGACAATGTATACTCTTATATGAATGAATTCTGGATCACAACATATACATATTTATGATAGATTGATACATCCAAACATTATAAAATAAAATCGTTGTAAGTGTAAGTATATGACTTCAAATCCAGAGTGTAAATCATATTTTATACAAAAAAATATTTATATTTTTGGTAGTAAAAATAAGCTTGCATTTCATTATATTTCTTAAAGATAATATGAAAAACGAAGTAATTGAATAGTATACAAAATAGTTGCTGACTATATAAGCGAAATACTTGTGTGCAATAATATTAGTAGAAAATTTTGTCATGTCCATCTGTACATCAGAGCAATTGTATGCAAAGAATTAAGAGTAATAAATACAATACATACATAAGAAAATGTACCCCCTTATGTAGGAGAGCTTCTTAATTGAATTAATATATTTTTTTTATATAAAAAAGGGGGCAAACAAGCAAACTATCCACCTGATGGTAAGTGGCTATCAAAATTGGTTAGGACATTATTATAATAGTATAACTTTTTATAGTATCATCCAGAAATACTATGAAGAAATACAAGTGGGGCAAGCCTACTTTTGCTGCAAATAAAATATATATTTTTATGTGTAATCAATTTGTCATTTTTGTACTGGGCTCAAACTATACTGGCACTGAAGTGCTATACAAGCTTTTACATGTTTTGGGTCTCATCATCATAGAGTTAGACCAGAATTACACAAAATTGTGTAAAATAAAAAATACCTCGTAGAACTTTTTCTTCTAAGGTTTTCAGTTGCTCCCTCTGTTGTAATCCAATATTATTAAATTCTTCTGTTTTCGCCTCAAGTTCAGTTAACTGCGTTATAAGTTGTTCATTTTCCTCTAATAGTCTATTATTTTGTCTTTTTAAAGAAGTTATTTCACTGTCAAGATCAGATAATTTTTGTGACACATTTGTGAGACTTTGGTCTTTTTGTAGTAACTCAGACTTCTGTTTGGTTATTTCTTCTACGTAATAGTGACATTTATTAGCCAGAGCCTTTAATTTACTTTGTGTAGCATCAATTTCAGTGATGAAAGTAAGTTTTTGTTCTGTTAATGAATCCACAAGCTCCTGCAATGTTTGAACATTTTCTTCCTTGGCATTTTTTTGTGATTCACAAATTTCTAGTAAGCTTTTATAATTAGCAACTTCATTTTGTAATTCTGCAACAAAACAATATCTCAATGATCCAATTAATATTATATAAAAAATTAAGTAAGTAATATAAGACAAAATATTACCAGATTTAGCTTGCTTTGCTTTTTGTGCTATGGTGAGGAGACCTTTACATTTTGCAATTAATTCTTCTTTACTCAAATCATCTAAAACGATTTTTTTAGCTGCAGAATCTTGCGTCTGAAGAATAAATATAATAATTTATTAATTAAATTCATAATGTTTCTATTATTTTAGGGAGTTTAATTATCACTTAATGACTATGTTGACATAATAAAAGGTTAGTTTACAATATACTTGATAGTTACATTCATGTTCGTGTAAAACAAATAATAATGTACAAAACGTCTTCACCTTTATTGTAAAACAGTAAATGAAATGTACACAGAATGTAATATACTAAGTATACCTTGACTTCAATACGATTATCCATAGCACTCTTCAATTTCCACTTGTTGTTTTATTGCATTTTGCTTGTATATAATTAATTAAAATTAGCAGAACCTAATTTCAAATTTAATTTATAAAGATACAATCTATATCCTATGCAAAATAAAATACATCTCATTCCGTCATCAATGAAATTACAGTACAAATTTTGTCAATAAAAATATGTAATCGTAATATTGTCAATTGTCAATGAATTCTGACAGCTGATAATTTGTATAGATAATCTATGATTGAAAGGAAATTCTTCAAAAAAACACAGACATTACAACCAAAAACAAAATGGAGAAGAATTTGCTTTTTTCTCCCGTCAGATGTCGCGATCACTATAGCCCTCAGTATATTACAAAGCTTTATAGTGTGGATGGGTTTTAATTAAAACGACAAATTGTGCAAAGTGCCAGGATGCTAAGAAAATAGATATCATTTGTTCACAAAAGACAAAAACTGTAGAAATCGTGGGCTAAAGCAACAAGACGACCAAAATTGGCGAAATCACAATCTTCATATTTAAGGCTATGTGGACATCATTTATCATATGAATATCATATGAAGAGCTTGCACAATAAGCAAACTTGCAAAGTGATTTCATTGTAAATCCAGTATGGCGGTCTCCCAAAAATGTCGGACTGTTTTTTATGCACCTTCATGATATTGATATCAAATGAAAGGTCTTAATAAGCAAAACACAATAAGCAGTGACGTCGTTATAAATCTAATATGACTGACTCCCAAATTGTGGACTGTTTTTTATGCACTCCCATGATATGGCTATCAAATGAAATTGCTTGATGAGCGAAACGCATTAAGCAAAGTACGGCATTGTAAATCCAATGTGGCGCACTCCCAAATATATGGCGAACTGTTTTTTATGCACCCCTATGATATGAATATGTAATGAAAAGAGTGTAATACAATGCTTCCAGATTTCTACTACTTATTCTTGATTTTTCTTTCTTGAGAAGTTGCTGTGATAAGAGTAAAGTACGACTGAAACAATTGTGCCCCTAAATCTTATTATTTTTATCCTTTCTTATATTAAATAACAATATTTTATATAACTACATAATTACCATAATGTAATGCACATATTACCGTGGTGTAGATGCTATGAAGAGATTGTTTTCTATTTTATGCTGAGTAAAGTACCTTTGAGGAAGGAAATATGTTGATCATGATTAATTGTCTGTACTCCGATACACACTTAGTCAATTTTCGATGTAGTCTGGTTTTTTTTATTTTTGTAAACTATTTTTTTATATTATGTTTCTTTTATATTATTTTTATATTATGTATCTCGAAATTATTTTTATATTATGTATCTCGAACTTAATTAATTTGGTCTTTTTTTGTAAAGTGCATCTCAATTATGAATTTTATTTAAAGTATGACAGAGTAATGGTGGCCACAGATTATGAATATATGTATATCAATTTAAATGGCGGCTCTAGTCATCGCTATTCGCTACTGTCGTATTGTGTTGAATTGTAAAAGTTATTTAATTTTTTTCTAAAAGTATATAACTTTGAGTGCACAATAATATTGAAATGTAAATAAATACATATTAAATACGTGCAACGTATATTTTTCCCGATTAAGTTTATTGGTAAGAATGTCGAGAAGTAAGATTTTGTCATAGTTGCAAACCTTGCGGGGCGCGTCCATGAGTAATATCCTAAGATATTGTTATGTTTTTTTGTTATAAATTTTCATCTTGATCTAATAATACATATTTGTTAATATTTCGATGAAACCTTGATATTCACACATCAATCTGTGACACTATTCTAATGTTATTAGAGTAGCTATTATATCTTTAAAACTTTATAGGACGTGTAGATTGTAATACAAGTCAGAATGTCGAGCGACGAAGATAAACCACCTGCACCTCCAGTGCGTTTAACAAGTAACCGGGCCACTGACCGAGTAGATTCTGTAGCTTCAGTTGACATGAGGCCTCTTCCTAAAGGTAATCAAATGGCAATCTTAATCGTTGCAATAATTTCGTATTATGAATCAGCAGCTCTTTCATTTAAATTTGTTTCAAATTAAACAATGAACATTCAATATCCTTAAAAATTAGCTATTTCAATTCTAAGTAACCTTTTTTGTTTACATTTATGCAATATTCATTATGTATAAACAGTTATTTCAACCTTATATTTCACCTAGGTATTTTTTTATGTATTATTCATTTTACAGAACCAGATGACAGTGGAGATAGGAAAAAGAAAACATTAAAGGCCAAAATTAAAGGTTCTAAAAGCACTGCACATAATGATAATAAACCAAATATTAGCTATCCAACCAACTTTGAACATACTGTTCATGTCGGCTTTGATGCAGTGACAGGAGAATTTACAGTAAGTTATTTTATAAATCCATCATAATTTATATAAAGCTTAAATAAAGAGTTTACTTAAAGATAAAAAGAAGGCCCATTAAATGTACATTTATTAATAGAACTCTAAAATAAAAAATATTTAGGTATTTTACTTAATAAATTATCCTATATATTACCTATTTGCACTAGGTATTTCATTATTGATCTCAGTTAAAACAAATATTTATGCCTTTTATATTAGCACTTGTAATCACAATTCAATAACTTTCCAATTATAATCAAATTGCACATTAATATGTTAATCTTTACAAAATATTTAATTCACAAAATCCACTACAACCAATGTCAGTGTTTTATCAACCAAGCTTATCTAAGTTGCTTTTTATCCATATATATCCAGCTTCGCTTTTTAGCATTGCGTATATCACATTAGACATTGTTAATTATCTCCATGTGTACTTTATGTTAATGAACATTATTGATAATTAAAATTAAATTATATAATAAAACACATTTGGAAAAAAGTTCAATCAAACTCTTTATATAAGAAAACTCAATTATTACAAGACTTGTACCTCACTAATAACATAGTTAGATGCATGCTGTATTGCCTTGTGAATGATAATAAATAGAGGCATTAATTATTACACTGTCATTACAAAGACAGTAGAAATACAATATTAGTATAGTAAAGTTAAGATATATTCAAAATATTAGAACCTATTTCATTTAATAGGGATATTTTGGTTTTTATGATGAATATGGACCCAACACCATGTAATTGAGTTCCCTGTATTGCCCGCTTTTGTTTCAAGCTGCCTATAACAGTAAGTACATAATAGTTTAGGTTTATATCTATATAATGCATTTTAATGCTACTTTTATTCTTTGTGGTCCAGAAAATTTTATATTTGTTTTAGAAATAATAATATTTTTATTGGCTCATATGAGATATATTTTTGCTGCTTTAAAAAAGTTATTTTCGAAAAGCAATATTTTATTGAAATGCAAATATGATAATACTGCTGTGGAATCTACCATCAATGATGTATAACAATAATATATTTTACTATATAACATAAATTAAGAGGAAAATATTTTCTTTTATATTATACTATTTGGAAAAAGTCTAGAAAAGATGTATGTTTTAATTTCCAATTTTGTTATATATAATATATAATATATAATATATATATATATATATATATATATATATATATATATATATATATATATTTACATAATTTTTATAACAAGCACTTGCACATAATTTATACATTTATTGCAATATAAGCATGCAAGCATATATTAAAATTTTATAGCACATTATATTATGTCTATTATAAATTTTTGAAAAATATATATATTTGTAAATTAAAATTATATATGTACCTCTGTTTTTAAAATTCCTATAGTATTACTCTAGCATGGGATTTTTATGTATTTGAATTTTAAACGTTTATTAGTAATAGAAGAGAAATATCATATTTTGTAGATAATACTTAATTTTGTTCTTGTTTTGAAGGGCATGCCAGAAGCTTGGGCACGGCTACTGATGGCCTCTAATATTAGCAAACAAGAACAGAAGAGTAACCCACAGGCTGTTCTTGATGTGCTGAAATGGTATGATGCCTCTGCTACACAACCACCTCCATCTAAATACATGACATCTGCTCAGATGCATACAACACATTCAGGTAAATGTTACTTATCATGTGTAACTTTATTTTACATATAAATATTTTAAATAAAGGAGGAATTTAAGACCTTTTCATTGTTGCACTAATTTTAAGTGCACAATATATTTTCTTAAAAGGGCTAGAATATTTTTCTATTGATGCTGGCTCTAACTATCCACTGCTATTTATATTTATCACAATGAAACTCATGAATATAGAGGACAGTTAAAAAAAAATATATTTTATTAGTATGGTGCTTAAAAGGGTTAAGCGTAGTTACGGCAATTTAAAAAAAAACATTTAAATCATGGCAGTTTGCAGTGTTCTTTTCAAGTACTAGTCTTGTACTAAAAAAATATTTTTATTCAGGGACACTATTAATATAACATTACATAATTTATTAAAATAATTTATATATAACTTTATTTAAAAAACAATTTTGTATGTCATACATCAAATTAATAAATTCCAATCACAGTCTATATTATGCTTGTGTAGACTAGTTATCAACCTTATTTGCTTAAAATTACCTAAAAATATCTTTGTATTACACATAAAACGCAAATTGGGCTATATTGCTTTGTGGCTAACTGTAGCAACTTTTAATTAATGATAATGAGTTTTTTGCGATAAGTTAATAACCAAGTCTCATATAAAATTGATACACTACACCTATTAAATAGTATTGCATTTATTCATATCATTTGGAAGTTGACATGGGTTTTAAAAGATAATAATGGATAATATAGTTATCATTACAATATTCCATTCATAAGAGAATACGATTTTTACATAGACTAAAATAAATAGTGTCAGCATGTTTTACAGTACTAGTATAATACTTAAATATACTACAAAAATAGCTAGTACTATTGTTGATGTGCTGCCGGATTTGCAATAAGTTACCAATAATGTATAAACTTTGTATGTAAAAAATAATAAATATATTTCTTATGAGTATAGAAGAATATAATGTCCAATTTTCTTTCTTAGTCTAATTTATTTAACTTAATATAAAAATATTTTCAAATGTTTTATTGACTATAAATATAGTATGCTCAAACCAAATCATCGAACAGAAATAGGCTGCAACTGGAATTTTATTTAAAGTATTAATTTGCCGCTTGCAGGTTCCTCAGTGTCCAGAGTGTCGTCCAGTAGTCCCTCATCGTCGACGCCAACGGATACAGAACACCCAGAGCCTCCACCTCCTCCACCTTCACGACCCGATCGTACTAAGAGTATTGTGAGTAGTACTTACAAATATAGTTTAGTATGTATTATTATACATAGGTCGCTCTGGAAATTCACCAGTTAAATGATGCTATTCAACTTTCCTAATTGCCAGTAATATTGACTGCAAAGTAGTTTATTAATACTTATTAGGCTACAAAATTATCAGTGAAATTAGCTGTCTCAACTTAGATTTTTAGTATAGTAAGTAATCAGTAACATCGAAAAATTATAAACACTTATATAAAAAATACTTCATTTTACTATTTCTAAGGGGTTAAAAATTAACATTCTCTTTGTGACATATAATTTATATGGTCTCGCCTGTGGTTTCGCCCGCATTTTAAATATTTTCTTGTTACTAGGCAGCGCTAATTATTATTAAACAGTGTAAAAGTAAATTTATGTTACGCCTTTTAACATTAGTCACACGCGCGTAGCCGTGCGGTATGTTAATATTATAGAGTGGCATAAGTCATAAGTATACTACAAAATAAAAAGTAATATTTGGTACAGATTTCTTTTAATGTTCGTTGACATTTGATGTTTAATTTTATAGTACACAAAACCTATAGAAGAAGAAGAAGCGCCTCCACCACGCCCTGCGCCAGCGCCGGCGCCGGCCTCCCCGCCTCACGTGCCCCATCCTGCTCTTACGACGCACTCTGTAAGTGTTTACACATGCATACATACTTGTTCATTTAAATTGCAGATACTATTTTTATTTTTTATTATTATTCGTTTCTTAAAGTCTTGTACTCCATTGTATATTTGTGATGTTTCCATCTTCGGCTCACTTTATCTTCGGCTTGTCTCATGGCGATAGTAATCGGTCACTGTTAGTCAGACACATTTTTAGCGGCTACATGATCGGCCACATATTATAGAAACATATATACATTTTTGTACATGTATGACGTTTGTGTATACACATTTTTGAATTTTGTATATTTTATGCAGATATGCAGTCGGGGAGAGACCGTGGCAGTGTTGGACCGCAACAAGAACCCGGCGGGCGCGCAAACACCTCCTGCGCTCGCGCCGCACCCCGCGCTCCCCGCGCACCCGCAGCCCGCGCCGCCCGCCAACGGCGCGCCCGCCACTGATACTGGGTACATATCACTATCACATTATAAAAAACCATTTTAATGGTAAACCTGTAAAATGTAACAGTTCTCTAAAATAAAAAATCATGGCAATGGGATTTGAAGTTAAAGCACTGTAATGCAATCTTGTGGCAAGTTATAATTATACCCACTAACTTTATAGCTGTATCCCGACAGTCACATAAAAGTATGTATGATAGTTGGTATACGAACACTATCAAACTCCCCGCACACCCCACACGATTATCTCGTTTAGAGGCCATTATTAGACAACTGTATATTTAATAGACTGTGCCATATCTATATCCAATACATGATTTCTAATAATAATCATACTTATTATTATAACCTTACATATATTTTATTTGTTTATTTTCTAAATAGTTAATTTTCTAAATAAATGTCTGTCAACAGAAGGGCAACAGGACAGCAGCAACGGAAAAAGAAAATGACAGATGAGGAAATATTAGAGAAATTACGAACAATTGTCAGTGTCGGAGACCCTAATAGGAAATATACAAAAATGGAGAAAATTGGTCAAGGGTAAAAATTCCTATACGTCATATATATTACATTATATTAAAAAATAATTTCTGGAGTGTTCAATTAAATTTTCATGGACATCATGTTTATTATACCTGAGTCTTATTATATAGTTAAATGAATCGTACATTAAACCAAAGTGAAGCTAAAATAATGAATATCTTTCGTCTTATGCAAGTGATGTTATATTTTTTTAAAATTCTAGTGCCTCTGGAACGGTTTACACGGCGATCGAGACATCAACCGGAATGGAAGTAGCAATTAAACAAATGAATTTGAGTCAGCAGCCCAAAAAGGAATTGATCATAAACGAAATCCTCGTTATGCGGGAGAACAAACACAATAATGTAGTCAACTACCTCGACAGCTACTTAGTTAATGAGGTATATAAAGAAAAATTCAAATTAATAATAAGTAAATCCAACTAATATTATAAATGCGACATGTGTGGATCTATGAATGTCTGGATGAATAGATATGGATGTTTGTTACTCTTTCCCACAAAAACTATTGAACTTATTTTAATGAAACTTTATAATATATAGCTTATACATCAGAATAACACATAGGCTACTTTTTACCCCCAAAAAATGTACGGTTTCCGTGGGATACATTTTGTTTTTCCAGAAGCGAAGCTGAGCGAAGCAAGGGTGAGCCACTAGTATTTAAATATTATTAAGAACTAGCGACGCACCCTCGCTTCGCTTCGGGTCTATATTTTTCCGGGATAAAAGTAACCTATGTGCTATAACATATTATAATCTATCTCTGTACCAAATTTCGTCCAGATCCGTTCAGCCATTCTGGCTCTCACAAACTTTCACATTTATAATATTAGTAGTATGTACAAAATTTCAGACATTTCTACATTTAGAGTCTTGATATATTTTTTAGTTAGTAATCTAAATTCAACCATAACAATATTAATTGTTGTTGTTACAAGTTTAGTCAACAAGTAACTTCACAGTTTTTTAACTTCTGCAATTATTATCATTTATATCTGTTTTTGTTATATATGTACTGAAATTTCAATAACTAAATGAAAATAAAACTAAAATATTTTTGTGCACAGGAACTGTGGGTGGTAATGGAGTACCTCGCTGGCGGCTCGCTGACGGACGTGGTGACGGAGACGTGTATGGACGAGGGACAGATCGCGGCGGTGTGTCGCGAGGTGCTGCAGGCGCTGCACTTCCTGCACACCAACCACGTCATCCATCGGGATATAAAATCTGATAACATCTTACTGGGACTTGATGGCCAGGTTAAGCTCAGTGAGTATAACGTGTTCTCTAATCATTGATATATTGATTAACTTTATATGTACTATTTTGTTTTCATACGCGTAAGTTCAAATTTGTGTTAACACAATTGGAACTTACGATTTTTGGGGTTTATTCTGTAGTTTGACTTAATGTCAATTTTTGAACAGATATTTGTTTGGAGTTTTCTATGTCAATTATCAGTATGTCTATTTAATTAATTATACATCATTATGTCTTCATGAAAGGAAAGTAATGAATAGTGTGGAAAGTGTGAAGCTATTTATTTTTTTATGCTATATTATTTATTTTTTTGTACATTAGTTATTAAATATTTATTCTAACTTTTGATATGTATTTTTAGCGGACTTTGGTTTCTGTGCTCAAATATCTCCTGAGCAAAATAAAAGAACAACCATGGTTGGAACGCCATATTGGATGGCGCCCGAAGTTGTCACCAGAAAACAATATGGCCCTAAGGTATAAAGTGAATTTATATTTTGAATAATACAACATACATACATTAATATAATGTTATTATAAATAAAATCTTTGGTGATTTGATTGTAATAAACTTACAAAAAAACGTCATTGTACTATTTATAGGTAGACGTGTGGTCACTGGGAATAATGGCGATCGAAATGATTGAAGGAGAACCGCCGTATCTCAATGAGAATCCGTTGCGCGCTCTTTACCTGATCGCTACTAATGGAAAACCAGACATCAAGGATAAGGAAAAACTTAGCACTGTCTTCCAGGACTTCCTCGATCAATGCCTGGAAGTCGACGTTGAGAGGCGAGCTACCGCTCTCGATTTGCTTAAGGTTTATATTAAATCTTACTGTTTATTGTCCCTATATAACCACAAATAGTCACATAAACTTTTGTATGTATTCAGCCCTTTTTAACGTCCCACTGCCGGACACGGGCAATCCCTTCAATACGAGGGGGGATCAGGCCATAGTCCAACACGCTGGCCAATTGGGTTTTGGCGGATTTCACATGACTTTGGAAAATAGGTTCTCTCGGATATGCAGGTTTCCTCACGATGTTTTCCTTCACCATACATACAAGTGGTAATCATCTTAAAAATGATTCACAAATGAAAATATCAGAGGTGCGAGACCCGGGATTTGAACTCGCTTCACTCAGTTTTCCAAGCGAGTGCGTTACCACTGGGCTACCACTGCCTTTTAAAAGTATATATTTTAAATTCTCAATTGGAGATATAGAATTTAACACTTTTTTATTTTATCTCAATAGCATCCATTTTTAAAAATGGCGCGGCCGCTCGCGTCGCTGACGCCACTGATCATGGCGGCGAAGGAGGCAGCCAAGGGGCATTAGCGGCGGCCCGCGGCGCCCGCCGCACCCGCGCCCACCCCAGTGCCTGCCCCGCCCGGGCTACTCTATGGTTACTAGTGAGTATGATGATGACGAACGAAGTTTTAACTATCTAATTATAGAGCGATATTTTATGTTTATAAACAAACGGCTGCATATAAATGAGGTGATCATATTTTTACAAACTGAAGATTGAAATTTAGCAGTCCAGTAGCCGTAGTGAGACTTAGGTGTTGTGTAGGGATGTTATTTATTGTGATTAGAGGCCGTCGCGGGCCGCGCCCCGCCCGCGCCGGCTCGCCGCGCCGCGCAGCCGGATAGTGTTTTGTAGATATAGTGTTTAGAAACAAATGTTGAAATACGATAAATCTGCGAATGAAGACTGGCAGTTAACTCTTAGGCGTAATTAACGTAGAGTATCGTAGTGGCGAGCGGTGAGCGGTGACGCCGCGCCATTACGAACAGCTTATTCTCTGTGATGGTAGTAGCGGCTGGCGGGCGGCGGCCGGCTGCGGTGCTGCGGCACTGTGAGAGAGAGAGAGAGAGTGCTCGAGAGAAATAATCTGTATCAGTACTGAGACGATGTGTATTTTCCTATACCGTTGATTTTAGAAACAAGATTCTGATTACATATTGTATAATTAGATTAAAAGGCACGCATTTTATTAAGATTTGACGACGAGTGATACTCGCGTATTTGATACTTTTTCGTATTATTTTGACTGAAGTTATTTGCTAGTTAAACAACTTATATGCTTTAGCAGTGTGATGCTTTTAATAGCTTGTACTAGCTAGCTAGTTTTATCTATATTACCGAATATTAATTTATTAAATCACGCTTTAATTGTTTTTAATTTTGAAATTATACATAATATTTTCATTTAATTAATTATGAAAATCAATAATTGTAATATTTTAACAGTGTTACGTTGTCGCGAAGCACGCTAATGGGCAGTTGATGATTTGATGTTATAAATTTCATAATTTAATTGCGAATGTATTATTAAGATATAATTTTATTTTGAACGGTATCATTGTTAGTCATGAAAGTGAAGCATTTACCTAGTATTAAGTTTATATAGTTTATTGTACTGATTATATATGGAATTAGTAAAAATTGGTGGTTTATGTTTTTGTGGTACAAAAGTTTGTATTGAACTGATTCAAGGTAAAAAAGAGATTATCATCAACAATCACCAGAATGAATAAATAAGACAATAGTAGAGAGTAGTTAGCGATCCAAGAAACAATTAATCTTTTTATAGGTACTTTAAGAGACCATATAACGAATATTTTAATTATATTAACGACTCTGCTTTTATGTATAGGTTGTGCCAGAAGAAGCTGTTAAAATTTTCTGTTTTATTATGTAATTTTTGCTATTTCATTATTTTTACAGCGAATGAATGCGAGGGATGAATGAGAGTGAGTGTCGCGTCATATAATTATCCGCCGAGAACGAGTTTCTCGAGGCTCGTCTACTGTAAATTGTACAGATAAAATTAAAGACAGAGTAGTGTACTCTTGACAATATTAATGACCAATTACACTATATAGATTTCCTGCTTTTGTTTCTGGTTGGTGCTCTTTTATTAAGTATTTTTTTCTTTTTAATTTTTTTTCCTTCCTTAGTAAAAGAATTTAGAAAATCCCATTCGATGTGTGATTATTAAACTATAATTTTATTTAATATAACTGATACAATGGCCTATGAAATAACAAAGCCACTGAAAACGGCCTATATAATAACATATGAGCACGATTGCAAAAAATCTGCACCAACCAATACCAAAATAGTGTGCAATAAGGTAGATGTAAAACTATACAGCCAAAAACTTCAAGAGAGCTTGAACAAAAATGATTCACTTTGTTTGTATGTATGTAACTGAAGTATTGTTAGTGTATGCAACATGTGATCATGGAAATGAATTTGAATATGCACTATGTAAGGTGAGAAAATAATTGTAATTATGTACGTAATATAAGTTGAAAATGTATTAATAAATATAATATGATTATGAGACTATAAAGCGGTTTTTCATGATTTTTGACAGTTGTAAACACCAGTGCCATGTATGAGCAACTTGTGCATATAAATTACAACCATACTATGAATAAAAGACTCAACTCTATGTAAAATAGTTTCATTATGTAAACCAACAAACACATACTTAAATATACTATTTCACAATATGAGGAATCTAGAGATCGATGCCATTAGTGGCTGACTGAAATGATTTATTAAATATAAATTTATTTTATAAGTAAATCAAAAAACGTATTTAAAAAAGGGAAATAGACAAAAATATATAGATATGGATGCAATAAGGTTAGTCTATTCGCGTTAAGAAAATAGTGAGTCATCAAGTGCAACGGCAGGTAAAGGTGTATACAAAGTGGGAGTAAAAATTCAATTCAAATTCAATATATCAAAAGATTAATTTTAATGGGTAAAAATCAATTTAATTATCTGACTTATCTCAAATCTTGATTTGACGTGATAATGACTTTATTTTGATTTGAGATAATTAATGAACCTAATTATCTTAAATCAAAATAAAATCATCATATTATAATGATAATGACTATTGTGATTTAAGATAATTAATCAACGTAATTATCTCAAATCAAAATTAGGTCATTAATAATATATTTAAGTCTGCCTTCAACTAGTTATTGTGAACTTGACTTTTATCATTTTAAGCAACCTAATTGGTCGGGGGGCGTGGCTAGGCCGGTGACCACCGATGTCTCACTATTTTCTTAACGCGAATTAACTATACCTACTTATTCACTAATAAGCCAAAAAAATATAACTCAAATAAATAGATTTCTCGGGAGTAGATAGACGTTAAGAAAGGATTTTTAGAAATTGACGTCCTAAAAAGTTGAAAGTTATAGTTACAGTAACCAAAATTAGAAATTATCTTTCTGAATAAAATGACTGTTCTAATTCAAAGTTTTAGCCAGTATCTACATCTTTTGAAGAAGAAAAATAGAGCGATTATACATAAAACTATGCGCGCGGAGGCAATAAACCATTTTATAAACCCCCTATAGGGTAACCAGATGGGTCTGTCTGTCATTTACTTGTCACTTACTTTCCAAGCAAGTTACATTTAGGCTACCGACAAATTACCGATTTTGAATACTAAATTATTATCGAATAATATAATTCAATAAGGCAATTGAATTGAAAAATTATCTAGAAAAACCAATACAGCAACGTTTTATTATAAATTAATAAACTTGAGATGTTACATAGTATACTGCTACATCCTGCTAATATTAAATACGGGTATTGTGAGGATAAATGTTTGTTTCCCTTGTAAAAACTAATGACCGGATTTTGACGAAACTTTACAGATATATAGCTTATACATTAGAGCAGCCATACTCAACCTTTTTTTTATAGGAGCCATAAACACGTTTCAGTCATGGTGTCGAGGGCTGCAAGCAAAAATTATTTAGGTCTTAATGGCAACGTAATTCCAAGTTAACGATGTAGTTACTTTTTTAACAAAAATATGTTTTAATACGATTTTTGAAGCTGCCGCATTCGGCCCGCGGGCCGCAGGTTGAGTATAGCTGCATTAGAGTAGTACATTATCTATCTAGGCTATAATTTTTAAAGATATAGTAATACATTTATGTACTGCGCAGGCGGAGCCGCGGGAAAACTCATATACTAATATCAATGCTTCAATAACTTATTAATTGATGGATTGAGGAGAATAAATAATTAAAGTATTTCTCCTTGTATTATTTTTACACAGACAGAAAGACGTTAAATAAAAGTCAATGTATACACAAAAAATATTTATTTCCGTAGAAGCCACTATTTTGTACTTGCAAAACTTACAAGTTAATTATACATTTTTACATATAGTAAGAACTAGAGTGCAAATAAATATAAAATTAACAAACATAAAACTTGACTCGAAATGGTAACTAGGTAAATTCAAATGATGGTGCTACATCAAAGACATTCTTTGGTGTTATAGGTTGAATATATTATGTTTATTACAAAAAGTTAGCAAAATATGCTGCAGTTTATAAGTAAAATTAATTATTAAAAAAACAAATCCTTTATTTTCTTTATTGCATAATATGATAATTCTACAGGTCTATATCAGGCACTGTGAAAAATAGCTCTATTTTATAAATTATTGTTATTTTAAATACAAACCCCGAATTTCAACGTACAGTAAACATTATTATAATTCTTAGATTAGTCTTTTCGTTCTTCAGCTGGTATGAAGTCTAATGCAGCTGAGTTAATACAAAACCGTTTCTTGGTGGGTGCAGGGCCGTCATTGAACACGTGGCCGAGGTGGGCCGAGCATTTGGAGCATCGCACCTCAGTTCGCACCATACCTGGTCGTGTTAAAACCAGTAATATATTCGCCCCAACTATTATTCCACACCCGGTCCATTTACCACAAAGCCATTTATATACATATCACATTAAACATGAGTGACATCATGAAAAATCCCATATATTATATATTCCGCAGTGTATTCGTGTCGTGAGTTGTTGGCAGATTTATTCGGCGCAGCGACAAGGGCAGCAGATGTCGTCCGGTCAGCAGCCATCCCGTGAATGTATAGGCAGGACAGGATAAATGGGACATGTTGAGGAATGGAGGGCAAATGAATATTAATAACATGCACATTCCATGTGTTATAAATAGTAAGATAAGATAATATTGTATATAGTGAATGATTATCATAATTTAGAATACTCAATACCCATGTTTTGAAAGATTAGTGATTTGTAAAAAATATTTAGGTGAAATGATTGAAATAAAAACCATTTAATGTTAAAGAGGGCAAGAGAAAAAAACAATAAAAAGTGCCAATACATACAAAAGAACAGTAGTGAGGGTAGTGGATAAGTAAAACATATACAAATCAATAAAATACATATGTAAATATTATTATTACAAATAAATTACCAATAAATTACAACTTACGTTTATGGTGGAGGACAGGGAAGATCAAGGTGGTCAAAGGAATGGAAAGACAGAAAAAATATTATAATATATTAGCACCAAAATCAATTCCCAACACCACTTCAGATTCCATTACTTAATAATGGATTAAATTATCAAATATAAGAAAAGAAAAATTAAAAAAGTCAAGTTTACAATTATAAAAATATATACATAGTGTCAAAAAAATAAACTTAAAAATATATATGTAATTTTATACTAAGTTTATATACCTAACATAGGTAATTTATTAGTGGGTGGTCCATGGTTAATTAGCAAGGACATCAAAATAAGTTAATGTGTAATAAAAAATAGCAGATAATTCATACAATGTAATGTGTGATGATGGTCTCGAGTTAAAGGTTGATAGGTGGCAAGTCTAAACTTGGTAATCATTGTGCAGCCATATATGTCAGTGACAAGGGCAGGTAAAGGATAGTACAATATGGGTATAATATTAGTACATATGCATATGTTGCTATATGATGGCAAAACAGTTTACTACAATTGTGAGTCATTACAGTGAGAGTTTTCAGTTTACACTATATGGGACAACAAATCATAAGCTTATACATTTGTAGTAACCTATACATATAATAAAATTGTAACTAAGCCGAATCTGTACATTAGATATTTTTTGGAAAATCTTATTGAAATAAACATTATTATCGATACAGAGGCCGAATCTATAGTTTCTAAGATTTCTGTCTGTCTGTTACCTCATCACAGAAAAACCACTGGAGGGATTTTGATGAAATTTAGTATGATGATAGCTGGTTATCCGGGTCAACATGTAGGATACTTTTTACCGCGGGAAAATAGCACATTTTGGAAAAAAAAATACAAAACTGCAATGTAAGAGATATGGTCATCTGAACGCGGGCGGAGCCGCAAGCAATGCTAGTAGCTTTATAATAATCATATTTTAATGGGAACAAAAAATAAACTCACTGGTATGATTTTATCTTAAAATATTCACATAATTGTCTTCAGCGATTTATATAGATATATGTCATTCAAAGTTCATAAAAAGAAATGCATATTCTATTGACACATAAAATTTTGTTAACTGTATAAACAGTGGTCTTGTGCAACATTTTTTATATGAGCTTCATATAAATGTGACACATGAGAAAAGTGTATAATTGAAAGGAACTATCAATTTCTGTTCACATGATGACAGTTATGGTAGGGGAGCCCACGATGCTAAATGGGGATTTACTCGAGCGTCGTAGAGACCTATTGGGATGCAAAGCTTAGATGATAAGAAGAAAAAAATGTTATATGATATATACCTTTACATCGGTGGGGGAAGCGGCTATAGATTTTTAAATATGTAAAAAAAACTGTTGCATAGACATCCTCGAGCGCGTCAGATATTGATAGCATAAATGCCCTACGTATTTTTAATAATGTACGTATGTTAATCTGATCGTTTGCATGATGCGGGTGGTTGTATTTAAGGGTTGAAAATGAAAAAAAAAAAATTTAATCGAGCGCGTCAGATTTTCTAAGGGAGTGTTAAGTGCACCAAAAAAAAGCTCTCATTCACTAATCTGACGATTTCGATGGGACGCAAACTCGCGGCCATTTTCATAATGTGCAAAAAAAAATCGCCATTTTGAAATACTCAAGCGCGTCAGATTAAGATATATATGGTTCATCTTTATGTTCTAAACGTACTGTCTCATAATCTGACGATTATCTAGAGGGACTCGCCTGATCTGACAAAAAAAATTTAGAAAAACGGTTCACCTTAAAGGCCATACCTGCAACTTCCCGCTAATTCTATATATGTATAGTATATATATATAGAATATATTTAGAATTATATTTCTTAGTTCTGAGGTAACAAACATAAAAAAAAACAAAAAAAAAACATACAGTCGAATTGAAAACCTCCTCCTTTTTGAAGTCGGTTGATAAACTAATACAACAGGGTGTGCGAATAATTCGAACTTACGAATTATTCGTTCCGAATCGAATATTAATATTCGATTCGAAACTCGAATCGAATAATTCGAAAATTCGAATTATTCGAAAGTTCCCGAATAATTCGAAAAATTTCGAATAATTCGAATATATATTGCAAATTTAAAAAATGAGCAATTGTTTTCTGTGGGTAATTTATTTTTAAACGAAAAGTATATTATTCGTAAGTAGACTATTTTGACACACGATTTGAAGGAATTTAAATGGATACAATTGAAGATCTAGAGATATTTCATTAATTCGCAAATTATTCGAAAACTTTCGAATTATTCGAAATTTTTCGAATTTAAATTTCAAATATCAATATTCGATTCGATTCGAACGATGTTCGCACACCCCTAGACTCTTTATGATCAGCTGTGATGGTGTCATGGCGGCAGAAACCAGAGTGGGGACGGAGTAATAGATAGAGAAAGAGTGAGAGAGGAATAGAAACGCGGAGAAGGAAATGTAGGCATCACGCAGCTGCACGCATTTAACTTTATCGACGAATTTTTGTTATTTCGGCTTGCGGAAATTGTAAGATTATATATTTTTCATTATTCTTGCATTATTTCCTTCAAAATAAAAAAAAATTTAGCTACGCTCGAGAATGTCGAGATGACGTTTTTTTTCACAACTTTGTTGCCCTCCCCTTTTTTTACGTCACTCTCAAATTGTCAGATTAGTGGAATATACACTTTTTAGGATGTAATTAACTCACCCTACCTTAATCTGACGCGCTCGAGAATTTCTGGTGGTCAATTTTTTTTTACTAATCTGATCTTGTATCCTTCACGGGCGGCCTTATATATGGGCCTCATGTTTTGTGGAAGTACTTAACCGGGTACAAGGTATCCCCCTGTATATTAATCTGCCGCGCTCGAGTAACTACAGAAAATCCCCTCTTGGGCTCCCCTACTATTATTAAAGAAAAGAGGCATTTATGAACTTTCGATATTAAATATCATGGCCATGCATAGTTTTATGTTTATGGCTAAAAAACAAAAAATCTCTTGTGTTTGACTCTTAATTTGTTATTTATTCATTATTTTTTTAGAACAATCTGGTCACATTATTTTAAAATTGCAGACTACATACTTTAAAAAAAAGATTTTTTTTTTAAATAAAGTGCAATACTTACTTTTAACCTCAACCATATTGATTATGAGCAATATGAAAAACATTAATCATGCAATGCAATAAAGTAAGCAGACTATTAATCACAAAACCAAACATCCCATCATACAACATAAGCTTTTTGTAAATTAAATATTAGACCTTGAACAACATCATTGGTTTACATTATGTAAAGATAGCCTATTGTAAATTGACATTGAAACTGTTCTGCATGAATGGGTGTAGCAGAAAAAAAAATAGTCAGATATACCTACCTGATTTATACTTAAATTTTTTAAAGTATTGTTACTAATTTGGATTTCTTACTATTCAGATAATGCAAAAGCTGATATTTTTTAATTAATATTAATATTACAGTATTTTATTTGTTATTGTTACATTTCAATAATTAAAATATAATATAAAACAATATAAATGTACCTGCACTTGTATCCTTATGTAGTGTAACTTTCTCCTGTGCTAACACATCATTGAATGCAGGCCAGCCACATCCAGAGTCATACTTAGTTTTAGAGCTAAAGAGACCTTGTTTACAAACTATACAAACATATAAACCTTCTTCATAAAATTTATTATAGGGTCCTAAAATACAAGCAAATTTTTATTAACTATATATAATCAGTAACAGATATTCCTTTTAAAATAAATATTATTTTGAACATCATAATTAATATAAAAAAATAAAACAACTAAATAAATTTGAACATCATATCAAGCCAATATTTATTTTATTATCAATTTACCTGTAAAAGGTCTTTCTGTTCCAGCTTCTTGGGTAACATGATATTGGAGGGGGGTTAAGCGTTTTTTTAATCCTTCTTTATCTTCCATGGCTCTCCAAACTAATGCTATAATTATACTTTGTGTTAATACCAAGAAAATATTGGCAATATTCCAAGGAATACTATAGTAGTTTTTTTTTATATACAGTTAGGAAGGATTATCACAATGTAAAAGTTTTACCTGTTGTAAATGTGTTCTTTAACTTCACGCTTCTATTAGTCTGGACTGCCTGCCTAAATATAGTTATTGGTCTAAGTAGAACACGCATCACTCACATACCCAAACGAAGTTATATAATTAAATCTTCAATAACAGTAACTACTAGATAAGATAATCAAGCTTCGTTTGAATGGGTAGGAAATAACTTGTGTAGATATTTGTCTCTGTAAATTACTATTGACTTAAAATGAAAATGAAATGTGACATTGTTGACACACTAAAAATAAATTGACATTGACACTTCGTCACAGACAAGAATGGAAATGCTCTCAGCTCTAGGGATTGTAAAAGTGGTGACACACGGATATAATAATGGGTAGCGCATCATTTTCACAGTTCCTAATTTACATTTAAATCCATACTAATATTATAAATGTGTTTGTTTGTTTGTCTTTCTTTCACGTTGAAACGGAGTGATGGATTGGCGTGATTTTTGATGTGAAGATAGGCGGAGAGCTGGAGAGTGACATAGGCTACTTTCTTAGCGGGAGATCATCTCATTCCCAGGGTAAAACACGTTATAATACAATCCATTTATTTCTGATCAGAATTACTTGAAACTTGGTATTAACGCTCTTCAATACAATTAAAAAAATACGTGTTTAATAACATTTTTCGAAATTTAAAATTAAGGGGGTAAAATAGGGGATGAAAGTTTGTATAAAACCTAGGTACCTAGGTACTTTTTTTAGAGACTTTTTTGTAGTTTTAGTGCGAGCTGTTATATATAGGCTATGCACCCCTTTGAGCTTTTTCCTAACTACTCAGCACATTCTACCTTTAATAACCCAGTCGCCCGTCAATCCACTCAGTCTCCATCCATCCTACATCCACGCCAGTCGGCTGTCTCTTTCCATTCAAATTATAATTTTATTTTTTATTTCAATTTCCTTTTTTTTAAAACATATTTATCCAGACACTCGTAACATTTTTGGTGGCAGCGATAAGGGATTTTAAAAGTTCCCGGTACCGTCTCCTAGTTTACGCGAATTCGACGCGTGTGTAAAAGTGTTAATATCTTTGTGCAAAAACATAAAATAAAATAATAATATGTGAAATAAAGAAAAACAAAAGTACAAAGTGTACAAGTGTTAGTGCACCCTAGACCTAATCACGGCCCATACAGTGTCTTCAAAACTTCAGTGCTACGTTCTGCTCATGCTGTAGGCAGAGTCCTTCTTCTTCGCCATCAGATCATATCCACTGTCACATATAGCCCTGTGTTGTGACCAGACACGACCACCCAACGATTACGTTGAAAGCTGATCAATACAGCCAACGATCCACAAGGAGCTTCGAGCATCATAAGTGAAATTCAATCCGCAACGGTTATCTACGTCTCGCCATACCTTCGAAGGAATGTTACCCGTCGTTATCGCTTTGTCTGTATTCAAGTAAGTGATGTTTTGCATTTGGTCATTGCGAATATTAAACTTTTAATTACTGTTTTATTTTGATTTAATTTTCTATTGTGAGCACTTAATTTTATTTGAAATTTATAATTGTATAAGCTGCCTAAAATATTTTACCTTTAAAATGTCTGAGAGTAGAGCCCAAAGTCCAAAATTCGAAAGACCAGAAATTGCCGTCACTGACACAGAGGACGATGGCCTTTGTCCTCCTCCTTCTGGACCTACTACTAGATCAAATTCAAAAAAGAAATTAGCAGTGGCGAATAAAATTGAGTTAGATTTATCCACTCTACTTAAATTTATAAAACCATATGATGGTTGTAGGGAATCACTTAACTCATTTTTAGTCAACTGTAATAATGCCTACGACCTAGCCACAGAACCACAAAAGGATATTTTATTTAAATATATATTGTGCCAATTACAAGGCATGGCACAAACCGCGTGCTCTGTAAAAGAGTTTACCAATTGGCCGCAGCTTAAAGAGTTCTTAAAAACACAATTTAGCGAAAGGAAACATTACACCCACTTACTTACAGACCTACAAGAATGTAAACAACAAATTAACGAACCTGTGAGCCAGTATGCTCTTAGAATTGAAACATGTTTATCTCAACTGCTCACAGAAATTTCTATTTCACATGGCCATAAAAGTAGGGAAATGATAGGACGTACAGCAGCCATGGAAGAATTAGCACTCCATCATTTTCAAATGGGTTTGATACCCCGTTTATCAAATATAGTCAGATGTAAATCACCAAAAACACTCAATGAAGCCGTCAACATCGCGATCTCAGAAGAAAAGATTCAACAATTCCTATTTAAACAAAGTTCGTCCACCACACGTCAAGGACGATCTAATACTTCAAGGCCAAATTTCACTTCTCTTTTTAATTTTCGCAATCATCCACTTACATCGAACTCTAATCAGATAAAGCCTAAGTCAAATTTCTATTTCAATCGACCTTCTAATACAAATAACTCCCCTGCAACAATTTGCAGATATTGCAAATCACCAGGACATACCCTGGAACAATGTCGTAAACGAAAATATAACAATAATCGTTTTAAATTTGATCAAAATCAGTCCAGGTAAACCTCAACGTGTCCACTTTGCTTCTAACACCTCTAATGACGAATATCCAAATGACTCACTTGAAGAAGAAGGCTATAATACTGTAGATGCTCAGTCAAAAAACGAATAACTGTCTCGTCCCGGTGTCGTACGGGGCCAAATAATATCAAAACCGACACCGCAAACTTAATTTCTAAACCCAAATTAACTTCGCCATATGGAAATTATAAGACCAATATGGCAAAACAATTGCAACCATCGCTACATGATGGTCTGCCAAAATCCACTGTATCCGTGCAGCAACGCAGTGATGTTGTTCTGCCAAAATCCACTGTATCCGTGCAGCAACCCAATGATGTTGTTCTGCCAAAAATCCACTGTATCCGTGCAGCAACGCAGAGCTGTTGGTTTGACAAAGTCCACTGTATCCGTGCAACAACACAGAGATGTTGATCTGCCAAAATCCACTGTATCCGTGCAACAACACAAAGGTGTTGATCTGCCAAAATCCACTGTATCCGTGAAACAACACAAAGGTGTTGGTCTGCCAAATCCCACTGTATCCATAAAGCAACATCATGATGTTGGTCTTCCAAAATCTTCCATATCCTCACAGAATGTGAATCATTCAAAGTTTCCTAAATCCAATGTATTTGAAATTACCAATAATCCTGCAAAAATGCTATTACCTCATGTTCTCGTTGAATCTCCAGTATCAGATATCCCATTATCCTTACTCGTAGACTCAGGTTCCTCTGTAAGCCTACTGAAACACTCCTGTATTAAAAAACATCCTCAACTTGTAAAAGAAACAATTCAGTTAAAAGGTATTGATTCATCCGATGAATCCATTCAAACTCGAGGACATTTTCAGCTAAAATTATGTCTACCTAAATCCAGTATATTTCATAAATTTCACGTCATCGATAAAATTCATCTGCCTTACGACGGCATCATATCAGGTTCTGACATGCTTAACGCCCATAGCTGTAATTAAGATTATACTAATAATTCACTACATTTTGGTAAATCAGCTTTAAAACTGTATTTTCATGAACCTGCATATCTAATACCCGCGAGAACTGAAACTGTCATTGAATCCTCTGTTAGAAATCCTGAAATCAAAGAAGGATTAGTCCTTGATCAAAAAATTTCTGAAACACTATTGATTGGAAATTGCTTAGTGCGTGTTAAAGAAAATAATAGGGTAAATATATCCGTAGTAAATACTTCTGAAAATCCTGTAACCTTAAAATCTGATCTTAGCCTTGAATTAATCCCAATCGATATCCCGGAATATAAGAAACAATCAACTGAAGTCATAAATCATATAAGTCACAGCAGTAGTTTTACACGGACCAGAGAAGTGCTCAAACAGATTCGTGTTGATCACCTAAATGATGAAGAAAAAGAAGCTCTTCTAGAACTTTGTTCTGAATTCTCCGATATTTTCCATCTCCCCGGAGAAAACCTTACCTATATAATATATACAAGTGCCCTGAAACATGAAATCAAAACTAATACCAATACACCCATTCATACTAAATCTTATCGATTCCCAGAAGTTCACAAAACAGAAGTTCGTAATTAAATTAATAAGATGCTAGAACAAAACATTATTGAACCCTCTGATTCACCCTGGTCTTCACCCATATGGGTTGTTCCTAAAAAACTTGACGCATCCAACACGCAAAAATGGCGAGTCGTGATCGATTATAGAAAACTTAACGACGTTACTATCGGTGACACTTACCCCATACCACAGATCACAGAGATCCTTGATCAGCTTGGAAATAGTAAATACTTCTCGACATTAGATCTAGCATCCGGATTCCACCAGATCCTTTTAAATGAAGATGACAAGGTTAAAACAGCCTTTAACGTCCCAGAAGGCCATTTCCAATTTTTAAGAATGCCATTGGGGCTTAAAAATGCTCCCTCTACCTTTCAGAGGTTAATGAATTCTGCCTTAACCGGGCTCCAAGGCATCCGATGTTTTGTATATTTGGATGACATAGTTTGCTACGCTTATGACCTTCGAACTCATATGACAAATTTAAAATTAATTTTTCAAAGAATCCGAGATTTCAACTTAAAACTACAGCCAGATAAGTGTGAATTTCTACGTCGTGAAGTCTGTTATCTTGGTCATGTGATCACCGAACATGGTCTTAAACCAAATCCCAGTAAAATTAAAGCTGTTACCGAATTTCCAATTCCCAAATCCCCCAAAGATATCAAATCTTTCTTAGGCTTAGTTTCCTATTACCGTCGTTTCATTCCTGACTTCTCCAAAACAGCTAAAACTCTTACCTCTCTCCTGAAAAAGGATGTACCCTTTAAATGGGAAAATCAACAACAACTAGCCTTTGATACATTGAAACATAAATTAACAACTGCTCCGTTGCTTATATATCCTGATTTCACCAAGTCCTTCATCCTCACTTGTGATGCCTCAAATTATGCTGTAGGTGCTGTACTCTCTCAAGGACCTATTGGTAAAGATCAACCCGTAGCCTTCGCATCACGTACACTTAATAAGAGCGAATCCAATTACAATACAACTGAAAAAGAGTTGTTAGCTATTCTCTATGCTTGCAAAACGTTTCGTCCTTACCTTTATGGCCACAAATTTCAAATTGTAACTGATCATAGACCGCTAAAATGGCTATTTAACCATAAAGATCCCAGTAGTAAGCTTCAACGCTGGAGGTTAAAACTAGAAGAATACGAATACGAAATCATATACCGCAAGGGCAAGTTAAACTCTGCTGCAGACGCTCTTTCTAGATATCCTGTGAATCATGTATATCCTATAAACAGTGATAACGTCAACCTTTATCCTATTAATGCAACTGATCCCGTTGCTGAGCCTCAACCCGAATCACCACTGACTGAAATTCCTCAAGAAATCCTCGATGAATTACTAGGAAGGGATTCTAATTCTACAGATGATGAAATTGTTCATTCTAACCCTCTAAATTCCCCTTCTGTTTCCATAGATCCCTTAGCGATACCCGACGAACCTTACGCTCAAACAGAACCAGAACCGCAACCTTCGACTAGCTGCCAAAATCCTGAAACCTTACCTGTATCAACTTACCCAAGTCCAGAAACTCCTCATTCAGTACCTGAAAGTATATTATTATCTGACAAATTTTTTAAAATCACCTACAAAATTATATGATACATCCATTACAGAACATAATGAAAATTTACTGAAAGGTATACAGAAATTGTTAATAATACCAACCTCATTGGACTTGGACGAATCTATGCCCTATGTGCAAGAAGTGATTAGTAATTGTCCAAACCCCGAACGCGATGAGTTTTTGAGATTAGAAAGAAGTTTACATACCTTTTTACCTCTTACAATAGACAATAAAACTTATCTTTTCTTATTCACGAAAGTACATCATTTTGATAATCACTCGTATCCCGATATATATAAATCCCTAAAATATGCACGTGATGAAATAATCATGTCTTATCCAACAATAAACGAGATTGGTACATCTGATTTTAAAAACCCTTTCGATAGACACTCATTTGTTAAAATATATAATATGATAGCTTATTTATTTGATGGAACTAGGATAAGTATCCACATTTATCATAATAATATTATATATCCTTCACTTAGCGAAATCCCTAAAATCCTTAAAGAAAATCACGACATCCCTATCGCAGGGCATTTAGGGTCATCAAGAATGCTCAGTTGTATCAAAGAGAAATTTTATTGGAAAAACATGTCAAGCGACATCGAAAAATATGTCAAGAATTGTTCATCCTGCCAGACAAATAAAGCCTTACGTAAAATTAATAGAGCCCCAATGGTAATAACATCCACGTCTACATCCCCATTCGAGAGAGTAGCCCTTGATATTGTGGGCCCTCTGCCTGAGTCTGGCACAGCGACGCTTAAGTACATATTAACTATGCAGGATGACTTAACAAAGTACTCGATAGCATATCCTATTCGCTGTAACACGGCTGAAGAAGCAAGCGACTGTCTTCTTCATTTCATATCCTTATTCGGAATCCCTAAGCATATACTCACTGATCAAGGCACCAATTTCACAGCTGAACTTTTTCGGAAAACATGCGAGGTTTTTAAAATTAAACAACTCTGGTCATCTCCCTACCATCCGCAAACGCAAGGTGCTTTAGAAAGATCACATTCAACCCTTAAAGAATACCTTAAATCTTATGTAAACGAAAATCAAGATAATTGGCCTCAATATGTATATGACAGCGCCTGCGCCGTCGCATGTACCCTCTAGAATTTTGTAAACAACGGGTGCACCGCTCACGCCACCGAGCGCGTCATTTAATTCTCCCCCACTACGCAACACTACGTGTATAAAAGAGTCGGAGCGACCACCGCTAAGGCAGTTAAGCATGGAAATGATTGCTACTTTTAAATCATTATCACGTGATGAAATTACAACAATTTTTCACGTGATTTCACCTGCTACTTTTCACGCATAGATTTTTGATTTCTGATGGATCGGTACAATCGTATATATAAGAATAGTAAAGAGGAAGGGTTGTCACGGTTGACGTTCAATATTCAAAATATATATTTTTCTATTCATTTATATCATGTGCCAACACTACCCCTTAAACGAATATAAAAATATCATATTCGCAACTTACACCTACCACTTATATCTTTAAGTTTTAAATAATTTAGATATAAGTTTCTTATGCTTCACAATACATAAGGGCTTTGTAAAAACATCAGCTAACATATCTTCAGTACATAGATAATCTAACTTAACTATCTTCTTATCAACCAATTCTCTAATAAAATGGTATCTGATATCGATATGCTTTGTTCTAGAATGTGATATAACATTAGAACATAATTTCTGAGCAGACTGGTTGTCATTATATAAAGTTATTTTACAGAGCTTACCAGTACACTCATTAATAAACGCTCGTAAAAACAAAGCTTCTTTACAAGAATCAGAAACCGCCATGTACTCAGCCTCAGTGCTCGAGAGCGCGACAGTGCGCTGCTTACGGCTTTCCCAGGATACTATTGATTTACCAATACAGAATACATACCCTGTGTAGGATCTCCGATCCAATTGGTCTCCGCCCCAATCAGCATCGGCAAAACCTAAAATTTCAAGATTATGTTTTTCAAAGATTAGCGAGTATTCTGAGGTGCCTTTCAAATACCTTAAAACCCTTTTCGCAGCTTTGACATGACTCTCACCATGGCAATCATTGAATTGGCTCAAGTAGCTGACACTGTGAGCGATATCGGGTCTGGTACATACCGCTAAATACATTAAGCAACCAATTAAACTCCTATAATCAAAGTTGCAATTACTAACATTTCCCTCTCTTTGCAACTTTAATCCTACTTCCATAGGAGTTTTTACTTCCTTACAATCCGCCATTTTAAACTTTGTCAATATCTTCTTTATATAGCTGGATTGATTGAGAGTATAGCTACCGTTAGGTAATGTAGTAATTTTCATACCTAAGAATTGATATGCCAGTCCTAAGTCCTTCATCTCAAATTGTTTCATCAACTTTTCTTTAATGAGCTTTCCTTTCTGAGATGTCTTAGATGAAAATAACAATATATCATCAACATAAATAGCTATATACAAAATTTCTTTACTATCGTTATATATATACACGCATGGTTCTGAAGAAAACCTCTTAAAGTGTAATTTCTTAATTAAAACATCATTAATTCTCTCATACCAAGCCTTAGCTGATTGTTTTAATCCATATATTGCCTTGTTAAGCTTATAAACCTTATTCTTATTATTATCAACAACAAAACCTTCCGGTTGTTCCATGTACACATTTTCCTTTAAAATCCCATTTAAAAATGCTGTTTTAACGTCCAAGTGCTCAATTAACATATCGTACTGAGCAGCTAGTGCTAGCAAAATTCTGATAGTTGAGTATCGGACGACAGGAGAAAATGTTTCGTGATAATCTATCCCATATTTTTGAGTAAAGCCTTTTGCCACCAAGCGAGCTTTGTACTTTAAGATCTCTCCATCAAGCCCTCTCTTCTTGCAAAAAATCCATTTGCATTTTACAGGCTTATGGCCTGGAGGTAGATCTACTAAAGTCCAACATTTGTTTGTGATGAAAGAATCATACTCATCTTTTATCGCTTGTTTCCAATGCTGTGAATCACTGCATCTCAGTGCTTCCTCCGCGTTAACAGGTAAGTCCTCCTCATGCATCTCTGTTAATCCAGCGAACTCATATGATTGAGCTTCTTCAAATGACAGCTCCCTAGAGTCCTCAGAGTCAATGCTTGATAAACCTGGAACATAAGTGGGGTCGGCCGAATCATCTGAGGCAACTAAATCTTCTGTTTCATCTAGATCAAACATAGTTTGCCTGCGAGGATTTATTTGGCCAACATTATGACATATAGACTCATCATTTACTGATGCATTTGACTGTGGAGATAACTGAATAGTTTTTGTAGGTAATTGTACTGAATTCGGACTTAGAGTACTATCTACAAAAATCTGTGAACTAGTTGAGTCTAAACCTAATGAAGTATCTTTATTTTTATTAACTTTACAACTATCACTATATGTTACATTTTTATTTACAAATTGGTTCTCCATGAACGTCACATGCCTCGCTTTAATGCACTTCTTTGGACAAAAGGGATCTATGAGCCTATAGCCTTTGCTATCATCACAATATCCTACAAAAATATATCTTTTGCTCCTAGGGTCCAATTTTCTAGCATTCTCAACGATGGCATATGCTACACAACCAAAAACTCGTAAATGTTCAATGTTCACCTTTTTATTCGTCCATTTTTCTTCCGGTGTTACTCCCTTTATTGCCTTAGTAGGGGAACGGTTCTTCAAGTATACAGCCGTGTTAGCAGCTTCAGCCCAGTACCGTTTCTCTAAACCAGCGTCCTGGAGCATGCAGCGGGTCTTATCCATTATCGTCCTATTTGCCCTCTCTGCAACACCATTTTGTTGACTACAGTTTGGAATTGTAGTTTGATGCTTAATTCCATTTTCTTTTAAATAGGCCTGAAAATTTACAGAATTAAATTCTCCGCCATTGTCACTTCTAAAAACCTTTATTTTCCTACTTACTTCATTCTCTACCATAGTTTTAAATAATTTAAATTTTTCAAATACTTGACTTTTTCTTTGAAGAAAGTAAATAAATGTTTTTCTTGTGAAGTCATCGATAAATGTTACAAAGTAACGTGCTCCACTCCAAGAAGGTGACTGCATAGGACCACACACATCTGCGTGTACCAGTCCTAGAATTTCGGAAGCCCTACTTTTACTTTTCTTTGGAAAAGGTAGCCTTGTCTGTTTACCTTCGAGACAAGCAGTACAAGGAATGAAAGTAGTATTTTTATAATTCATACCTGATACAATACCATTTTTCATTAAATTCATGCTCCGTGCATTCAGATGACCGAGCCGCTTATGCCACAGTTCCTGTGATGCTGAATTCTGCACAATCGCCAGTGTAGAATCCTTGCTCTCATCTGAAAACACCGTACGCTCGCTCCCCTCACGGACTGAGTTCATAGCAATCCCTGATTCTTGTTTTCTACTGTATTTCCTATTATACATATTTACAGTTTTAATAATGTCGAGTTCATAGACACCATTTCTACAAGTACCAGTAGCTATAACCTCCTTATCGTGCATAATTTTACAACCTAAATGACTAAAAATAACATAATAACCTTTCCTACCTAACTCACTTACTGATAATAAATTTACACTAAGTTCAGGTATAAAATATACATTATTTATAGTTTTAGTACCATGGGTTGAAGGGTATATGAAGGGTTGTCACGGTTGACGTTCAATATTCAAAATATATATTTTTCTATTCATTTATATCATGTGCCAACAATTTCGACGGTCTGGTGTCACACTTTATATTATTTGCTATTAAAATGAAGTATGAAATGTCACCAATGGCGCTACTGATGTGATATGGAGCAGAGATTTAGATCTGACGTAGTTGCATACGTACATGGTGCTTTGAATGAACCTATTTTCAAACAATGAACTTTCCCTCATACTTCTACAGGCTTGGGACTGACAATGTAAAATTAAATGAATTTTAAATATATCAGAGTAATCACACGGTAAAATTGTATTAAGCTAAGTTCCATAATTACATTGGCGTATTTAAAAG